GTAGATGTTCATGTACTTTTCTTAAAGCATATTCCTCGCGTCTAGCCTACTGATAATGCCCGACTGATTAAACGATACAATAGAGAGCGGTTATGGAATAGGTAATAAACTGGTTGAAACCCAGGCCGTTTGGTAACTATGCTATTAAATTTAATATTGTGTATGTGATTCAAATGATTTTATTCTTACTAAAATAAACAAATGAAACGGAGTGATGATTCTTACTATTTTATCTTTTCATACTAAACAACCTGACCATGTTTAAGATCATGTAATAATGTAATTTAAGTGACAATCTCTACAACCTTCACTCTAAAAACTGACCATTCATCGGACATGAATAACTTCTAACCACTAATGACCATACCGCTAAACAACTAAAAAAGAAAAGAAAATTTTAAGGAAATAAAAATTGACAAAACTAAAAAATATTATCTTACGGTTATTTTTTGTTTTCTTATATTGGGATGTGACCGTATAGATATGAAGAATTAAGTATGAAAAATAGCATATTATTTCTTTATGCTATAATTAGAATGGTTTTGCTTGAATGTATACCAAAGATGATAAAGTAATGTAGGTGCATGTAAAAGGGCTCTGAATAAGTTCACTGTAAATGATCTAACAATTTATTTCAGTTTTAATTTTATTGTTTAGTTAGGTAAGATTTATTATTTAAACGCTTATAGTTTTGGCAATCTAAAATTAATATAATGAAATTTACTTCTCATAGTTTACCTCTATTCTTTACACCGTTTAAATATTAATCTCCTTTGAACAATCTTAATAATCAATAAATAAATTCTAACTTACAAGTTGTTTCTAGTTGATTACCATATGTGACTTACTTGATAAGAGTAGTGTTAGAAAGGTAATCTTTTTCTAAAGTTAAACAGTTATCATGAAATCAGTGAATTCAATTAATCCTCAGCTGATTTTCTTCGACTGTATTGATAGGCATGTAAATACAAATACTATAAAAAATTGAGCAGGCTTATACCCTAAAACATTTTGGTTATTATTGTAAGACAATTCGGACATGGAAGGTCATTTTGATAAACTATTAGAGAGGGAAGTCGTCTGATGGACCTTCAAGAACTTATAACCCTGATTTTATTAATCCTATTTATTAGTGAGATAACTAGTAATAAAATTGTATGTTAAGGGACTCTCTAATTGAAAAATAAAATGAAGTACATTGTGATTTAACGTTAATGAAAAAATATTTGGTCCTCTCTCATTCCAGCGGAAAACAAATTTTTCATTTGAATCGATGGTACCGTATGGTTTTCTACGTTTATTATATTCTCGATTTCCTGATATATATTAATAAAGCTGTATGTATGAAAGCGATTACTTGGACGTACTGCATATGTCGAATATATCTTTCGGGCTATCTTATAGAAAGTCAATCAAGAGAGAGCCATATGAACTTGAAATTCTCTTAGCATCATATTATGTATAACATTGTTCTCAGTGAATTAGTTTATATGGTTTTTGAATTTTTACTAGTGAAACTTAAATTTAATGAATTAATTAACTTATCAGTGTGGGGTTGTGGAGATTGTTAATTCTTTGATTGAGATCATGAATCGATAAATGTTAGACTATCATTGAAAACCTGGAAGCACTGAACGGTCGTTCAACAGTATGAACGGATGAATTTGGAAAAAAAACAACTTTTAAAAAATAATTATAAATTAGTTTAATAATTTGTTTAATGAATAACCTTTCAATGAGGAGTTTTTTCCGTTAAGAGAGGCTTCACTTAAACTTCATTATATGAATTCTTTTTGCATTCTTCTCGTAACTAACTTAACATCTCAATTATGTCTTAGGTCTATTTTAATAAAAAATTACTTGATAATCTGACAGTCATAAGAATAACATATAAAGCTATAGTTTGCTCCAACCATAGAACATTAGCTATATATAATCGGTAAATGTGGTTGATTAATATCGATATTCTGTAAATAGTAAGCTTATAATTTCCAAGAAGTTTCTTCATTGCCCATCCAAAAACCAGAAACTGCAATTTTATATATCGAGCCAACTGAGAAAAACATACTTTACTGAAGTTTATCCATACTAACAGCATCCAAATACTTAACGGTAACCCTTGAAATATCATACTAGCAACTTTATCGTGAAGCCAATAGTTTCTGCATAAGATTACAGAAGTCACTAAGGTTGGGATCACATGAAAGCATTTTACCGAAACTTAACAAGTCACATAGCTTACAGTTAAATGAGCATTATTTATTACTTAATTTTATAGTAGTTATTACATTATAAACTTTGAACATAGGTGTGTACGATATTAAACACTGATATTCTTTGCAACTAATTGATACAAAAGATAGCCAGAAATTTATTCTAAGTATTTTAGCTACTGAACAGTAGTATAAATTTATCAGTAAATATTTAGGTTTTCGATGAATCACCTAAGAATAATTACAAGTTGCTCTTAATCTCTTAGATTCATACCCATTGTTCTTCACTGGGTAGTTGATTAAATTGCCCTAAGTTCATAATCTTCGTTGAGTGAGAACGGTGTATATCATGGATATGTCAAATGTAAAAAAGTGATGATACTTATCTATTTACAATCATTTATTTTAGTATTTTTATTTTTACTATTCTTATTGATACATTTTGTCAAAAAGATACATTTATTTTTACTCTCGCTACTATTCTATACACGCCAAATGACCAAAATGGGTTTTAACAAGTAAACACTGATTGGTATCCTAAACAGTTTTTACTTGTAATAATCAGCGATAGTGTTATTTTTAAGTCATAAATAAATCACAGGCTGAATAATTTTTCAATGACAAATCTGGTTCCAATGTTTTGCTTATCAGACTATCTTGCCTATGTTATGAAAACGCGGAGACGCAAGTGTGCCAATATATACATGTGTGTGCACTGACAATCGAGCTCTGATAACCGTTCGTTCGTTAGCAAAAGTTTCATATCATTTTAAGCAATCTACACGACACATAAATTTCCCTATATTAATACACTTTGTTATTGAAATATTACAGGTCATTTTTTGTGCAAAATTGAAATGGAAGAAAAGCAATTATACTTTTATTTGTTTTATTGTATTTCTTGTCATTTGAGTAATTTGACGTGCTTTTAAAGAATGATTACATTACTCTTGAATCACTTTGTTTAACAAACCACAATATACAATCTATTATAGATAGTCATTAGAGTAATACATTTATATGACAAGGCATGAATGGAACAAGATTAAACCTTGTACATTGATTTCCTACACTCACTACCGATTTGTATCATAAGCACCTTAGACGTCATTTTGTAATAATGTTATCAAATTGACATATTCATTTTCTAAAATAGGATAAGAATCTTTTAGTATGACTAAAGAAACATGTAAATATAAAAATAACTTAGTCTTATATTAACGTAGATTTGTGTACAACCATTAAAAAATTCAGTGATTAGGAATTCATTTAAACTAAATCACACTTAATTTTGTGGTAGAGACATTGAAATTTTACATCTGGTCAACACTCAAAATTAACCTGATCCCAAATTTCCCACGGATCAAAGTTGCAATTATCACATTTCCTGTGAGTTTTTAACTTACAGTAAAGAAAAACAATACTGAGCAAAATTACGAAAATTTATTTTCTCTCGTGAGTTTCCCGTCGTCTACTTGATTCTAACCTTATGGTCTTTCGCTACCATTTTGATCAGTATTCCAGAATAATCTAAAGCATATCATTTGTTTCCAACATTTTATTCATTTAACTTTGTCTGAATGTTCACAACACCATTTTGACACTCGCTTAAGTTAAAAGCATTTCTTAAAGTGTTTTATACACAGTTTGTAATTTTGATAAATCACTGGTTGTAAGAGGTTGAAGAGAATCTAAGGAAGGAAAATGAACGGACGATATACTGCTCAAACTGTTCCTCTAAATCTTTTCAAGCTAACAAACGGAACTATGTCTACGAAATTATCTGATACAAAAACATTTTTAAATGTTTCGCTAAATGTATAGATCCAAGAAAAATCCTAGATACCAGCTGGAAGATCAGTACATAAGGCTTAAGAGACGAAGACATTGTTTCACTAAAAAAACAGCAGTGTTTTTTCAAAAAATGGCAAGACATTATAATTTGATGCTTAAGAACATACTACTCAAGTTATTTTCAATTTATCACCAGTTAGTTAATTTAATAAAAGTTTTTAATTAGTGACATTAACATTCATTTTTTAAAAGCAAGTTACTTGCGTGTAAGTGTGCTTTTTCTAGTGAAAAGATGTAACAGCATATAAGAAACAGAAGCCACCTGTGCACAATGAATAAAATACAATTTAGAGTGGTTGAAAACATATTTAGATACATGTACCATAGGTTAGTTTAAATGCTCATGTCACAAGACCAAGATCAATGATCCCACACAAATAATCAAGCATCTGCCTATCAGTACATAAGCAAAATAGTAGCCGATGGATGAAATCTGACAGCCTGCCAAGAGGATAAGGATTTTGTCGTTTCATAGCATTCAAAAAATAAAACATGATCAGGCATAAAAAGAGGAAACGTTATAGTTGTTCTTTGGGTGCTTGTTTTTCTAAATCCAGATTATATACTAATTGTAGACTTTTTCCTTCTAAACTTTATTTCAAATCGTCATTTCGACCCATTGACATATCATCATCGCTCTCAATCGGAACGCTTCATTCATCATCTTCAACATCCCTTCAAATCCAATCATGGTATCATGACCAAAAATCGGTAACCACTCCACGAAAATTAAAAATGAAAACCTGGAATGAATGTATATCAATATCATTATCTCAATACTCTACATCAAATGAAAACGAAATCGAAACAATGACTGCTAATATATTTAACGAAAATGACAACATAAATGATGATCAACAAATCATTGAACCTGGTATTTATGATGAATCATATTACGATCTAAAAATAAAACACCTAAATTGTAACCCAAAGTCAAAACAAGGTGATATTAATCAAAGTTTTCTACGAGCAGCTAGGGCAGGAAATTTGGAGAAATTACGTGAATTACTCAACAAAATAACAGACATCAACATCTCGAATACTGTGAGTTGTTTTCAATGAATTTTTATTTGATAATTCGTTAAATAACAAATAAAATTGTTGTCTAATTTGTTTTGTGAACCCATTATTTTCCAGCTAACACTTGGAATACAGTATTTACCGTGGAAGATTTTCTTACTAACTTTCCATCACGGCTGTACTTGTAAGTTTCAGGAGGGTTATGCAGAAAATGTAAATGCTTAGTTGTAAATGAAGGCTAGTCTTTCTTAAAATAGATTAAGCTTTCTGGCATTTTTCAACCGCTTTCAATAAATTAGATAGGTGAACTTCTCCCTGAAGAGTTATATGTTTATAAGGATAATCCAGTCCATCAACTAAATCTCATAATCAATTAGGTATCCAGAGAACTAAATGGACACTATTAATTGATGCAATTTGACTTCAGTATGTGCTAATTTCTAAAACAACAGTGAAAATCAGAAGAGGTGAAAACTGAAAGTAAACGTTTTAGAACGCAAGTAAGTTTTGATCTAAATCAGCTTATTCGAGTGATGCTTTGTAAATCAAGGGGTGTGCAATAAAAATATTAGTTTTAGCGTTGACCTGGTTTTAACGAGGGACCTAATATACCACAAATAAATTACAAGTTGTAAACTGATAAGTTTACCGTTTACTAAGTCAAGGAATGCATTATCGATGCAATCACTTGGATATTAATTTCATCTTTTTCACATGTCAAATGATTTTTTAAAATCATATTTGACTTGCAAAGCTATAAAATCAGTGTTACTCTTCTTAATTGTTTACTATGAAACAGTATTACTAACACAACACATGTTGTGTTATATGTTATATGAGTTACTTTTACATCCGAACATTAAATTATATAATAAAAACACTCCGTTACAAGACACTAAATTGAAATAGAATTTTTTAACAAGCAAAAGTACAAACGCGCTTAGAATGAGTGTATTTATTCAACATCTTTATAATCCAGGATTTTTTTAAACCAATAACTTAGCTCGTGCTCAATGAATTCATATAATGTGAGATTTTCTATGAATTCGATGAATGAATTTTATACAGAGACTATGTACCCTAGATTTACGTTTCTTTTAACTCTGACATGGTATTAGTATAAAGCAAATATACAGTGTGTCAGTGAACTTGAAATTTCTACATTTTTCAGCTACCCTATAAGATTCTTACTAGATGAAATAAATCTAATTAGTAGAATAGTGATATGCATAATAGTTCGTGATTCATAAAATAAATCTGTCGATAGCGTAAAGAGCGTCTGAAAATAATGACAGTCTTCATAAAAAGTATTTAAATCGGTAGATTACAGCTTGAGGCACAACTTCAAAGATGATCAACAGAAACGTAACCCAAAAAATGTTCAAAATTTGGTCAACAATTTTTATATTTTCATAGTCTACGTACGAGACCGATGGTTTTAGGTTCAGTCCGTGAATGCAGGATCGAAGGTGTACACTACAGAGGAGTTTCATACTAGAAGGAAACGGCTGTCCAATAATTTCAGGTTTTTGATGATGGTCTAGCTAAGATTTCCTGATCTGCAAAAAACATTGTATTCCTATGAAAACTGAAAGCTAAAACATTATGTAAAGTGAGATCCTCAAAGTAACTGACTTGTTTTCAAAAACGTTACTCACTGAGTGGGTTCAACATATATGATCTGAAAGAACCACTACCTATAGGTAGATGACAAGCATAACATACTTGTTTATGGTTTGACACTTATTACAAAGTTTTAAACTAAGGTCCAATAGGTCGTTAATTAAGGAAATTGTTCATATTGATTATAGCTTCTAGCATAGAAAAAGAATATATCGTTAGTTATGGTGGGTTGTAAGGGACGTTTTATCCAGGAGATATATAAGAATTCAACGTGAAAATTCTTTGATATATCAAAGATTGTATTATGATAAGTAGAGTTATATTTAATCTAAAATCATCTAACCTGCTTGCACAGGAAACAACAGCAATGAAACTGTTTATATATTATGAGTACCTTTTTAATAATACAACAATTAATTAACCCACCACCTCTCATCAGGTGCTTTTTCTAGCGACTGATGTGACCAGTAATCAAGATATAATACTTCGGTTCATTATTATGGAAATCCATATATTTGGACAATTCATTATTTCAGTCTCCTATAATGCAGATATTATACTACTTTTTCAATTGCTTAAGGTGCACATGAGATCTTACTTTGTTGTTAACCGATATTATGTAAACAGGTCTTAATCATTACTTACTTACTTACGCCTGTTACTCCCAATGGAGCATAGGCCGCTGACCAGCATTCTTCAACCCACTCTGTCCTGGGCCTTCTTTTGTAATTCCATCCAATTCTTGTTCATTTTTCTCATGTCTATCTCCATTTCTCGGCGTAATCTGTTCCTTGGTCTCCCTCTTTTCCTTTGACCTTCGGGGTTCCATGTGAGGGCTTGTCCTGTGACGCAGTTGGGTGCTTTCCTCAATGTGTGTCCTATCCACTTCCAGCACTTCTTCCTGATTTCTTCCTCCGCTGGGATCTGGTTTGTTCTCTCCCACAGTACGTTGTTGCTAATAGTGTCCGGCCAACGAATCAGAAGTATTTTGCGTAGACAATTGTTAATAAACACCTGTATTTTTTGGATGATGGCTTTCGTAGTTCTCCAGGTTTCTGTCCCATACAGTAGAACTGTCTTGACATTTGTATTGAAAATCCTGACCTTGGTGTTGGTTGACAGTTGCTTTGAGTTCCAGATGTTCCTCAGTTGTAAATATGCTGCTCTTGCTTTGCCGATCCGCGCCTTCACATCTGCATCAGATCCACTCTGTTCATCAATGATGCTGCCCAAATACGTAAAGGTTTTTACATCTTCCAAATCTTCTCCGTCAATTTAGATTGGATTGGTGCATGCTGTGTTGTATCGGAAAATCTTGCTTTTCCCTTTGTGTATATTGAGACCTACTGCTGCTGAGGCTGCTGCCACACTGTTCATCTTCTGCATCTGTTGTTGCGTTTGGGATAGAAGGGCCAGATCATCTGCGAAGTCTAGATCATCCAACTACATCCTAGATATCCATTATATCCCGTGCTTAACATCAGATGCTGACGTCTTCATGATCTAGTCGATCACCAGGAGAAAGAGAAAGGGTGAGAGTAAGTAACCTTGCCTAACACCGGTCTTCACTTCGAACGACTTTGTCGACTGTCCTCCATGCACGATTTTGCAGTGTAATCCATCATATGAAATCTGTATGATATTCACTATCTTCTGAGGCACGCCGTAGTGTCGAAGAAGCTTCCATAGTGTTGTCCTATCCACACTGTCAAATGCTTTTTCGTAGTCAATGAAGTTGATGTAGAGTGATGAATTCCATTCAATTGATTGTTCCACAATGATCCGTAGAGTTGCGATTTGGTCTGTACAGGATCTATCCTTACGGAATCCTGCCTGTTGGTCACGAAGTTGGGCGTCTACGTAGTCCTTCATCCTGTTTAACAGTACCCTGTTGAAAACTTTTCCCGGTATTGAGAGAAGAGTGATGCTCCTGTATTTATCACACTTGCTGAGATCGCCTTTCTTCGGTATTTCGATCAGAAGTCTTTCTTTCCAGTCTTTTGGTACTTGTTCCTCATCCCAAATCTTATTGAAGAGAATGTGGAGTATCCTTGCAGTTGCCGCTACGTCTGCTTTTAGTGCCTCTGCTGGGATGTTGTCCGGTCCTGCTGCTTTGCCACTCTTCATTTGTCTGATGGCCATGCTGATTTCTTCAATTGTTGGTGGGCCAACATTGATTGGGAGGTCCGTGGGTGCTGCTTCGATGTTGGGTGGGTTCAGTGGAGCTGGTCGATTCAAGAGTTCTTTGAAGTGTTCTACCCACCTGTTTTGTTGCTCTACAATGTTGTTGATTACCTCGCCTTCCTTGATTTTCACTGGTCGTTCTGGTTTGCGGCGATTTCCAGAGAGTTTCTTTTTTATGTCATACAACTGTCTCATGCTTCCTTCTCTTGCAGCCTTTTCCGCCGTCGTTGCTAAATCTTCCACATATTTACGTTTGTCGGTTCTGATGCTCCTCTTCACTTGTTTGTTTATTTCCGTATATTCAGCTTGTGCCTTGGCTTTTTCTGCTCTTGTTCGGCTGGTATTGATTGCTGCCTTCTTGTTCCTCCTTTCTTGAATCTTATCCAGTGTATCAACAGTGATCCATTCCTTGTGATGGTGCTTCTTGTGACGCAGGACCTCATGACATGTTGAAGTGATTGCCTCTTTGATTCCTTTCCAGTTGCTCTCCATAGTAGTTCCTTCTCCATTGAGTAGATCATGAAAGGCCTGGAACTTGTTGCTGAGGGCTATCTTGAATTTGTTGAGTTTGATAGTATCCTGAAGAAAGGCCGTATTGAACTTTTGTGATATTGTCCGCCCCCTTGTCCAGTGTTTCTTGAGTTTCAATTTCATCTTGGCGACCAGCAAGTGATGATCTGGTGCTATATCAGCTCCTCTCTTGGTTCTCACATCCTCTATAGTCCTCCTGAACGTTTTGTTGATGCAAATATGGTCGATTTGGTTTTGTGTAGAGTGATCCGGTGAAGTCCATGTGGTTTTGTGTATGCGTTTATGTGGGAATATGGTGCTGCCTATGACCAGCTTATTGAAGGCACATAGATTTGCAAATCTCTCATCATTTTCGTTTCTTTCTCCCAGTCCGTGTCGTCCCATGATGTCTTCATATCCAGTGTTGTCCGTCCCAACCTTGGCATTTAAGTCGCCTATCAGAATGATCAGGTCCTTTGTTGGGCACTTCTCGACGATTAACTGCAGCCTATTGTAGAATTGATCTTTAGCGTCTTCATTGTAGTCGTTGGTAGGCGCATAGCATTGGATGACGTTCATTGAAATGCCCTCTTTCTTTGTTTTGAAGGAGGCTTTGATGATCCTTGGTCCATGAGAATCCCATCCTATAAGCGCATTTTGCGCTTGTTTGGACAGCATCAATGCAACTCCTTGTGTATGTGGTGCATTTTCTTCTTCATGGCCGGAGTATAACAGGAGCTCTCCTGTAGTTAGTCGTTGTTGTCCAACTTGTGTCCAATGTGTTTCACTGATCCCAAGTACCTCTATGTTGAATCTTCTCATTTCTGCAGCAATTTGGAAGGCTCTTCCGGTGTCCCACATTGTAGGAACATTCCATGTACCTAAATAAATGGTCGCTCTGGTTGTCAGAAGGGGCATCGGCCTCGTAACTTCCGAAGGAATTCGGCTTTCATCATGAGGCGTCATAATTCTTCTAAATGAAGACCTTCTGACTCCCAGGGCAGAGCTTAAAAGGTTCGAATAATTTTTTCTGGTTAGTGTTTTTTTAACGAGTTAGTTTTCTACGGTATGGGGTCGCTAACCCCATGCCCAACCCTCCTCCTTTACCCAGGCTTGGGGCCGGCAGTAGCCCTCGGAGGGTCTCCAGGCGGAGTTTCTTAATCATAACCTTTTAGTAAAAACCAGCCGGATTACAAAAAAAAGAACTATCTTACAAAAAATAAAATATTCAAAATGTTCTCAAAACTTAAAAACTGATATGAAAAAATAACCACACGTAAGGCGTTTACTACTTTCGAAAACTGTTTCGTTTGTTAAAATAATCATATCTACTAACCAACATTTTAAAACGAAGTCATCGAACAATATGAATCATACACCAAAAAGTATAGGAATTTTCGATATACATAATAAAATATTATGCGAATTTATAGATAATCTGTGATCTTAATTTCTAAATGTAACTTGACTACCCAAAGTTTCTTTATGTTCCTTTCATATCTTCAGTATACAGATAAAAGATTATTAACCAGTAGAATTTATGGAATTCCCACAATGCTATGACAGTGTATTTAGTAGATAAATATAATAATTATAAAAGGAGTAATAATCAGCCAACCTGAGTTCGAAACAATAAAACTGTGGCGGGTACATTACTACCGGACTCATGAATAGTTTGAAATCACCTATAATGCATTTTTTGTTTCTAATGCTGTAGGTATTCTTCAATTTCCATCTGCCCTTCTTAAAAGGCGGACTGAAAAGCAATTATTTCCGGCCTTAAAGAAAATTTACGAAAAAAACAATGGATACAGAAAATCCTTTTCTTCTTTTTAATCCGATTGTACGGTTAACTTATAAAACATTATGATACAAATCGATTCTTCTAGTGAATGATAAGGATCATCTCATAACATAACCATGGCAACACATTCAGTCTAAGCCATGTTTAGAATCAGAATCATTTTCTGACCTATTTATAAGAGTTTATTGGTTCTCCAGATGGTATGTACTAGTGATTAAAACAATGTTCAAACATAAGAAACCTGTTTTTGGTAATATGTGGACCGTTCTTCAAACTAGCTGCTAGTGACTGAAACTGAATAAATATTCATATTTTGAAGTCGGTTCTTCTAAGAAATGAAAAATCGTGACAGCCATTTTAATGGCAAGTGCTTTGCAGTCTGATTAGGAAGGTAATATATTGTGCTAGCTTTAAGTTGCCAGAATTTTTCAAAAATGACCTAAGGCTATATTCAAGTTCACCTTTTGATTTTAGTGGATTATTATTTTGGTATAAACCCTTAAAAATACTTTTAAAGAGTTTTCGGCTTATTCTAAATGTACAAATAAAATCAGGCGAGTGGCGCGACCAAATGAAGCGGCCGTAGAATGAACCTATAAACTGACGAATTTTATTAAATGAAAAAACACAACGCATCTCAATAGAAAAAAATTTCTAAGGATTAAAAGTCAATAAAACCTTTGGTTTTATTAACCCCAAAGTGTTTAATTAAGACTTTGTAAATTCACTACAGATAAACATACTTGTTTTTTCAACGACTTCATTAAATCACAAAGAAAACAAATCGGTTCAGAAGGCAGTTTGAATTCACATTTCAAGAAGGGAATTTCTTATGAGGATTGAGCCAGATATACAAAGGTATTCATTCAATTTGTTCCGCAAAGCCGCATGAAACAGGACGAAATGGAATAATTTAGAAAAATTACCACTATATATTATATTTAAGAGTGATGAATGCATAGCTTATTTGGTGGTATACAGTTCTTGGAAATATGAGACATACCAATATAAAGAAAAAGTGGCGAATCACTTACTTAAACACACAAGATTAGGTACTTCAGAAATTGTTATAATGAGAGTAAAGTAAACGTACTCTGATTCTCTCTGATGTACTCATCAGTGGAAGAATCTTAATAGACAAGTATCTCTATGATAAAGCTGTCTATGTGTCGATAACTATTAAATTGATAACTAAGGTAATTATAATCTTCAAAGTCAGTGTATTCTGCTTATCTGTTTAGCTTACTAGGCTCCATCCATCGAGTCTAAACACTGATAGCTACAAGCTCAGAATCTAAGTTTTAGATTGACTGACTTTTGAAAAAATTTCTATTCCGGAAGGCACATTTTAATCACGGATTGTAGACAAATGAAGAATGAGTGATTATAAATCAGTAGTCAGGACTCCTCGCAAACAAGTACCCACAGTCCCATGCGATATCGAAAGCAAGATATTCAGATATTGTGGAAAGCACAAAATCATTGAGCTGCTTATTGGAAATCCGGTAGTTCCTGTCTTTGACAGGACAGTAACAATGTGAGATTTGATATAATTTCCGCAAACCTTATTAAATAATAATCATATGTTAATTAGTAATTAGCTAGGAGAGAGAAATTTTGAGGTTACAATTGGAAACTATTGCCTGTGGAATTAAACAGTATATGCAACGTCTACTGTAAAACCTGTAAAACTTGATTAATCTAATCAGTCAAAAGTAGTTGTAGTTGGAATGCCCTTTTCGATCTTAGTCGAAACATTTACAGCTTAGTCATGAATTTTAGAGTTTCAAACGGTATATGTTTACAGAAATAAATTAGCTACCAATACGGAGACGTTCCAATAGACTGGCTATGTTGAGTGTTTATGGTGTCTTTTGGTTTATGCTACCTGCTGAGAAATAGATCTTTTGGCATAGAGAAACATTTTGAAAAAATATGCTTCAAAATGAATCAAAATAACTTCCTTATTTCTGAATCTCAAACATTATCTCTGTTTAAAACTTTTTATTGGTTAGAAAATCATGACTTTCAAACTATTACCATAGCGACGTAAGGATAAGCATATATGCTTATATAAATGTTTCTTATGTTTTTTATACTTTGAAATTACGGAAGCTAAATTTAGAGCTACATTTTTTGTCTCATTGATCATATGGTTTGTGGTTTGACTTTTGTATTAACAAATATAAGGAAATTGTTTTGATTACATTTTATTCACTTAGAATTCAAGCTGAAAACTGAATTTTTTGTTACCCCTTTGTTCACCAATGAATTACTTTAAAATGAATATTAGACAATCTTCATAGAATGATGAGTCATATAAACCAGCCAAACCAGAAGTGAGAAAAAAATGTCAATGATGTGTTATATATCTAGAGCTTGGAACCTTTCAACCACTGAATCCTGACTGAATAGTTATATAGTAATGCACTCCTCTCTGATACTTCACTTAGGGTATTTTGTTTTGAATGCATTGATCACACTACTGAGATGCCACAAACCAGAATAAGGCAATAATTAGTGCCTCCCAGCTTTCAGCTGTTCTTTCGACATTAGTTTTCAGTGAAAACTATCTTCAAATCCTTTATTTGGTATGACCTGAATACCGTATGTAGCATGTATGAAACATTTCACCCCAGTTACTTTGAAACCTCTATTTTACAACCTTAGGTTTGATAGAAAAGAAACAGCACACAATAATACGAAGAAAAATAAGTAGAAAAACAGTTTAATAAGGTTTTCATAAAAAATCCAATCATAACCTCAGAATATTAGTTCTTCAATTCGTCTATTTGGTCAGAATGTCCAAGCAATTAAAAGAAAGAGTTAACAAGCAAATGATGTTCGTTAATTCTGATAAGTCTATATAAATCCTCACATTATTTGTGTTGCCACATTGAGGTTGGTAAATATTACCTCTGTGGTGTGAATAACCAGCACTAACGTGTCATCTTGAAACAGTAGAATAACATTGACCATAAAATGTTTTGTATGTATTTTATTCTCATTATCAGACTTTTAACCTTCATATTTATCTTTTGTATTTCTATTTTTTACAGAACGGACTGAATGCGCTACACTTAGCGTGTAAAGAAGGTCGAACTGACGTTGTAAAGGAATTATTATCACATGGCGCGTCAGTTTATATGATCACAAGAAAAGGCAACTCTGCTTTACATATTGCTAGCCTTGCAGGACATCTAGAGATCGTAAAATTGTTAGTTGACCATGGGGCTGATATAAATGCGCAGTCTCAAGTAAGAAGTTCAGTAAAATAGTTTAAATGCGGCTTTATATGGTAGCAGTACGTAAAATATTTACTTCAGTAGGTCATCAGAGGATATGTATTTAATTTGTTTTAAGTACCCAGGGTTAGCTTTTATGCTTGATAGGCTAGTTCCATTCAAACGTGCATGTCAGGACACATCATCTTTATAAATCTTGAAATATCCCAGCCTCATGCAAAGTTGGGTAATCTTGTTATTAATGTATATTCTAGTCTTAGATGACAGACGTCCCTTTTAAAGGTCTTTATATTTTAAAGCTGACGGTAAATAACTTATGTCATTCATTGAATAGGTATCTAAAAATCATAACTGTGTTTTTATGTAATTACAAAACTGTTGTAACTTATGGCTTTGTGACCTATTAATATATAACGTCATGATACCTCCAATTAGAGAACAGTGATTTATCGACCGGACCAATCACACGTGAACCCGTACGAGTAGTCTAGAGTCCTTACCGGTCCTTCTTCCTGCCTAGCCCTGCCTGTTGAGTCCAGAATACAAATCTCAGCCTCTGAGATATGAATCATGTGTTTCAAACATATTGGGTTTATATGCAAACCAAACAGACCACATCACACCACAAAGTGGCAAACAACATTTGTACAAGATCTAGCCAAAAGTGGCTGTGAATGTGGGAGACTGTAATTAATAGACCGGGTATAACTGCGGAACGGTAAACCATATAATAATAGTCTATGGGTCAAAATAACGCTGATAATAAGAGAAACATGAATATGGATAGTTTCATTACTTAAAAATTATACAACAAAAATATATGTATAGTAACTGTTCATAAATGGATCCCAACAGTTACCATTCAATATTCTCGTCGGGATATAACAAAAAGAGTAATTTTTAACTTTAAGTGTCTTAAAAGGTATATTTTTAGTCAGACAGTTCGAAATATATTGTGTTAATCTATCATGTAGTATTCTCTTTGTATGATCTAGAGAGACTAATTTTTTTAAAGACAGTGGTATGGCTAGTATTTGTAGAACATGGCCTATTCGCTTCTGTGTTTATCATACTGACGGTAGTTTGTATGGTAATAATTTTATTAATGAAACACAGTTAAGCCAATTGGGACTTGTGGGGGTTGTTGAAAACTTAAGTAATTCGAATCACACTCAAATTAACCAAAAATGATCATTTTCTTCTGTGACATAACTTTGAAAAAGTTTGAAAAATGATGAACAACAACTTAAAATAGGAAGAAAGAGACATTTAGTATCATTTCTTTTACACAACACAATTTCAAGGATTTTATGAATAGAATGTCTTAAAATACTTCATCTGTTTTGTGACGTGGAGAACCACCACTAAGATTCGAACCGTCAGTGTAAGACTATATGTTACCCGGCATATACTAAAATTGGTCAATAAACTCCATTTATTTAACACAGAGTAATGATCAAATACATCTACTTATCACAAATAGATCCAGTAGACAAATATGCATTAATTCAGGATGCTAATTTTCTAACTGAAAAGAACACTTAAAAGAAGTATATCGAAGTGCAAAACAAGATCATAAGTTCAAAAGAAATGCTCAGATATCAAAAGATGATTATTTAATACAAGTTTGATACGCATAAACCCATCTAACGTGGACACTGGATCACTAACTGCCGATTTTTAACATTTTATATACTTTGCCTTGGATATTTACAGTCTCCAAAGCGTCGTCTAAGCGTAAAAAGGTTTCCCACGCTATTCAAATGCTCCATTTTTGTACATCAGATTAGCTGGTAGCCAGATTTTCAAAATTTCTGTTCAATCATTACTATATTAGAGATTACTTGCAAGCCATTTAACCAAGACCACTCTTCATTTCTTAGTCACTATGACATCGCCTCCACCCCTTAAGAAGCAAAATAATCATCATCTCCCAGATCCTTAGTATTACACTCAAATCATGCTGCATATACAAAGTATGTTTTTCAACAGTGAACACTTTGATGCTTATTCTTCCATTTAGTTGTGATATAGAAACAATTGGAATTCAGAGATTACTTCCTGTTTGTTAGCTGTAACAGATAATTGTGTATCAAAGATAGCAAGCCAATGAAAAATGAGTTTTCTTTATGTTTTTAGTGTTTCTGATATTTTACGGTGTTGGGATTGGATACAAATCGTAAACTAAATAAGGTTTTTTAATAATTATCATCAACAAATTATCCTACGTATTGGTTGTTCTTACTGTTTGGGAAAAGAGGGGATGAACTACAAAGACTTAAGGAGGAAGTGAAATCGAAGAAAACAATATAAGCAATAGGAGAAACTTATGAAAAGAAATCATTTCAGGTGACACTTGTGTCTGTAAGCGGTGTAATTTATTGATCTTATGAGAACTGGATAAATGGACTAACACAGTGATTTCGTGCTGATGTTATTACATAGAAACAGAATACTTAATTGAGTAATTGACATCCTTACGCTAATTAATTATATGTTATTCACTGGTGGACTACAATTAATGATCTTCAATGCCTAATATTTGTAAAAATGAAACTGAGGCGGTGTAATTTATATAAAATGACATCTTGTTTATGAAAATGTTGTTTAATGCATAAGATTGAGTCGATTTGAATTTCTTTTCATTCAGAACGGATTTACACCTCTTTACATGTCGGCTCAAGAAAACCATGTTGAAGTTGTTCAGTACCTTCTGGACAAATCTGCTAATCAGGCTTTATCAACGGAGGTTGGTTTAATCATGTTTAATTAAAACCGTTTGTATTTACTTTTAATAAATTATACTCTTTAAATAACATCTCCAAACACTAATTTTCCTGATTACTGCTTATACTCTTATTACCTCTACCACTACGGGACTTGAATCAACCACTGCATCTCTGTGCTAATGTGGTGTGGCAACTCGAACTGATGTACGTACGTACGAAGTTCTACGTTGTTACTGACTGACTGACTGACTAATAAATTAGCATTGCATTATTTTACTAAAGAATTAAAGATATGAAATTATGGAGTTTAATTGAATGCTCTTGGTGGTAGTGTGTTATCAGAGCTCAGTGATTTTAGTGGAAACATTCATTGTCGTTCTGATAAACATTTTTAGCCCCTACTTCATGTAGATATCAGTGAATGTTTTTCAAATAAATCATATGGCTAAGAGAACACATCACTTCAAAAAATACAGATTTACTAACTGGTTGCAAAATTATTTGAATTTGTATCAAGTAACATATTATCTATAATATTTCTCACACATATACTTTTTTGATGGTTTTCCATTTATTTTCGAACCAAATCTTTATTTGTAAGCGTTTCCGAGGGTGTCCTCAAGTGACTTTAATACTCATTAGAATTCATCTATGAAGAGACTCCGGCTACTAGTTTCAAATGATGATCCCAATCATGCTTACTTAGACGTATAAAGTGGAGACTTCAAATCAGAAGGACTCTGATGTACTACTTATTTATTCAGACAATAAATAACCGTTCTCCTTAGTCCTAAGAAAAAAAGTGGTTCGGGGACTCATGTAGATTTGCTTGCCCTTATGATATGTTGCGAATAATTAGGTTCCATTATTGCCATTAACATTCATTGTAGCTCTTTAAAAATAAACCATCATCTTTAAAATGAATGTGATTCTTTTTAAGCTTGATTTATTCATTGTTTTATATGGTAAATCTAAAATGTACTGGGTCATTCTACTCTTGTAATTGTTTTTTGTTTTACGAATCGATGAGTGAATTCTATCTGTCATCCTTCATAATCAAATCCTACCGGCGAAGTTTATTCTTAATGAATTAATAAGGAAACTAATTTCAACCGGTTTCTAACCACAAAAGCAACAATTAAATAGGAGAAATCATCAATAAACCGATTTTTGTTTAAAGTTGTAGGCATGAGTAAATGGTTCCCCCACATTTATCAATATTTCTTAACTTCAGAGATATTCTCCTGGAGTTTCCGTCAATTATTGATCACATGTGAATAAAAAATTTTTTCAAGTATTAGAAGAATTTCAAAATGCTTATTCTAAATAAATCCATGTGATGAATGTATGAATCAGCTTAACTGATTACTTGTCATAGTATTCATTGAAAATGTTAAATGTAATTTAGTGGTTTATATCATAAGAAAATCTTGATTAACAAAACTTAAACTGTGTGTCAATACTTGGCATTTATTCTAATCATTTTTTAACTGTTTCAAAATAATATCTACTACTCAAATAGCCTTACAGTTAAATAATCGTTATTTTACAAGTTTATATGAAAAGCGTTGGTTAGTTTAACAGAATAACCAACGGATTATATCGTTATTTAATGACACAGCATTTTTATTTTTCGTTACTATGAATTTCTTAATATTAGCTTTCCTTTAATAAAAGAAAAGGTTTGAAAGTTATCTCTTATCTACAGAGTAATCTATTTTGATTATCCTTTCAAGGAAAGTTATTTCATTACATACAATGATATCAAATATTTGATGTTCAAATGGTTTTGTGTAAACCTTTCCATTACCTGTTGTATGTTATTTCCATCTTTTTTAAAATGAATTCATTATACATTTTAACTATAGACCATTGAGTAAAATCAATGATGGTGTGCTAATTAACTTTGCGTGAGATAATTTATAAACTGAGTAAAAACTATCTGCAGACAAGCTTTTTACTGAGGGTAAACAAAATTCATGTCTCATAAAAACTACTGTTTAATTTATTAATAATCGCATTACGAATCTTAGTGACTAAAAATTAGTGTATAATCTAAGGTTTCCATAAAATAGGCATTTACTGGAAATCGGGACAGTGATTTATAAAAATATCTAGTTGAGATAACTCCATTTAGGTTCCTGCCTTAGGAACATTAAATAATCATATTTTTGGCTAAAAAGTCAACTATTCTAACATAACGAGTAATATAAACAACGCCTTCTGGTAAGTAGAATTCGAAATGGTTGGCATCACCATTTAACAACATAATCTGATGTAGTTTCCATTAAAATAAACTACTCGCAATGTATGAAGCAACAAGTATACTTTCTGTGACCATATATTACCTTGCGATTAGGTTTTATTTATAAGATTATTAAATTTGAAAATCTACACCTAAATGTCACCAACTTAACTGCAAAGCTTGGTTTGTTTTAAAATATTTGTATTCTTTATCAGGATCAGGGATAAAGTGTTTTTTTATAACTTTAGTTCAACTGACAGAATTAAGGGTATAACAACAAAGAATTTGAATATATTCGACCGTATCGAAAAATAGAATTATATACTTTCTTAGGAAATCAGATAACTCCATTAGCTGTTCAAATGTTTCTGAAGTATCTCTCCATAGATCGCATGTGGGATTTTTTGGAAGTGAGGTAACGATCTTAGTAAAATTCTCGGTTTACGGGATTTTGGTATACCATAAAATTGACGGAGTACAAGTTTATTAGATTTTATTTACTATTAGTTTTGTTTAATTAATTGCCCTGCTTTTTTTAGTTTATTAGTGGTCTTGTTGATGGAATTACTCAGTTTTTGATTACATTAGCTTCATCAGTTGCTATAATCAGTTACTCAGCCCCGTTAAAGTACCCCTTAGTATCCGGAATCGATATTTTATTTAGACAAATAAAGAGGAACAATCCTTTTGACATCAGTCATAATACAGAAAGTCAGTTAAGGTCTTTCTTTACAGCAAAACTGAGGGATATTTTACAATGTAAAGCTGAACCCTTATGTAAGCTTGTTGTTGACACTCAGCTATGGATTACAATAATTCGGTTATTATGGGCATTAAATCCATACTTAACCCTAATGTGATCATAGTAACACTGTAGACGTCTTAGTAGTTATCACAATGAAAATGAAGGTTGAGCAAATACGTTACCAGATTATTAGTGTCTATTTATTTTGGAAATGTTTGTCAAATTCCACCCTTAGTTTGCTGCTCAAAGCAAAACAGCAGTGTATGTAAAGTATGAAGTTCAGGAATTCAAAATTTTTCATTTATTTCTCATATGAACTGTTTAAAGTTCCCGAGTCATTGAAAACATAATACCCATTTTTAGAATCTAGACATTTGAAAACGTTAACGAGAGGTACATCCTATCTGCAACATATTCACGGCTATTTTGAAATTTATTTTGGTCATCAATAAGGATTAGGTATATGATAACCCATCTGTGATTGGCTTGTCTGGGTTTATTCACTTGTTTTAATTTATAAACTAAACAGATTTAATCAATCATACATAACATATCCTGTTTTTATGAACTCCTTTTGCGTACATTCTTACATTAAACCCTTGTGAAGATAAAACTAATTATCTTACCGATGCCTCCCAAGCCGCTTGTAAGTAACCGTTTCCGAATGCAACAATAAGGAAAAATCAATAGAAGAAATAAAATAACTCTTAATCAATGTTGGATATGATACAAAAGTAGATTAGTGAAAGGTAATACATGTTAAAGAATAATAAGAATCGTTTATAGGTTTAATGTATAAATATTTAATAAGATAAAATTATGAAGGGCATTAAGATAGGTTTTTAGACATAAAAATCTAGCGTCATAAATTTTGTGACACATTGGTTGTATAGCAAGTTTCAATGAATAAGGTTCATGCAGCAAGCAACATTGAAATTTACTTAACCTATTTTAAATATTACCGAAATAAACTCGCTGTTTTGAATCATGAAAGTAAACTGAATAAAATAAGAATACGAAAGTAATTACAATTTATTTTCAAATAAGCTAATAATGAAGAAACAATGTGAAACAATCTTTCTGGTAGTACTTATCGTATAACAGTACAGATACATTTATCATTCTGTTTGGTGAAGAAGTTTTTTTTGTCGATATCACTAATTCCGTATAACCTCAACTTTAAACTAAAATGTTTCCGTTTTGTATTTTCTATACACTGAGATTCCCAAATTAATGCTTATTTACTATATCATGTTTCCCTATTTGCTTTATTCAGGATGGTTTCACACCACTTGCAGTGGCACTACAGCAAGGACATGATCGTGTTATAAGTCTGCTACTGGAAAGGGATTCTCGCGGAAAAAGTCGCTTACCCGCTCTACATATTGCTGCGAAGAAAGATGATGTTCATGCTGCTAAATTGTTACTCAATAACAGCGAAATAAATGTGGATCACACATCGGCTGTGAGTGCTTTTTGCAGATACTACATATTGTTTTACACACCAAATAAGGATGATTTCGACTGCGTTATCAATATTATAATAAAGTTGCCTGTGATGGATATTATTTTGAGTTTATTTATTGAAGAGGAATAATCGTATAACTATGGACTAATCAGTAACCGTACCACTCTGATAAATATTAATTTAATCAAATATGAATAGGACTGTTAAATGAAGTCGTACAAAACTATGAGTGACAAATTAAACATTTTGAATTTTTCATAATGCAGTAAATTATACAGCACAGTTTCTTCGTTGTATTTCCATAAATCCACAGCGAATACGAAGTACATCGAAAAGTTAGCCCCCTGAAAATAGAACTAAACATGTCGAAACGTATTAACAAAGCTTCATTTCTGGATCGCTACCTTCAAAGAATGTGTTCGAACGCTTATTTTCAGTTTGATTTCTTTCTTATCATAAATACCACTGTTATATGATAGAATCTCATGAGGATATCACCTAAAAACCTAAAGCATTGATTTAAAAGGCTTTCTTACATATTCTCGATAAATATTTTGGACGGAATTGCGTAATGTGACTACAGAATATACATAATATTTTTTCAGTCATGGATGTCAACCTTACTTCTTTAGATTGTATTACTTCCTGTCATGCCCTTGATAAATATGCTGAAAAATGCTAGCCTATGACTCATATATAACTGAATTAATTAAGATTGCATCGAGAGGTTTTAAAGTTGAAATGGTTTAAGTTAATCAAACCATATATAAAATTAAAACTAGAACCTTGTTATATACACATTTATGATATTCATTGAAGTTATTACTTATATAGTCTTTCATTCATCATTTGTTTCATAGCAGTATAGCACGTTTACTTGCTAATTTTGTGATGTCATTATACTTTTACAGAGTGGATTTACTCCTTTACACATTGCCGCTCACTATGGGAATGTTAATATAGCTAAGTTGTTGATTGAGAAAGGAGCGAATATTAATTACCAGGCAAAAGTAAGTCCCGTTTTTATCATTACTCGATCCAGTATCTTGTTAAAGAATCAATTAGTTTCAGAGATAATATATAATCAGATCAGTACTGACCAATTGATAAGTTTGATCTCAATGACATTTCAGTTATTCATGTATACATATAGTATTGAACCAAAAGAGTAGTTAGGACAAGAATGGATTATGGCTAGGTTATGAACTCAAAAGAGTTTGGTATTCTCAATCAATGATGTTGAAAACTTTAGGAACGCAAGTTAAAAACCTATTAGTCGTTAGTTATCTGAGAAATATATTATCTATTTCAGGGAATACAATGATAAAATTATTTCTAAAGATGGTTGCATTTTAAAACTAGATTAACTAATTTTTAAAAATTATCACTATGTTGAACTGCCTATAAAAAAAAGAAAAATACGCTTTTCAATGGATTATTGTCAAGTCCTACTGTCATAATTTCAATTAATGACAAAATGGAATTTATTTCACTTTGGATCAAACTCATTTTTATTAGCATGTAAGTAAAATAGGTTTTTTAAAGTCTGTTACTTAACTTACGTAAGGAAAATATATTCTTCAGTTTTGCCTGAATGAGTGTTACACCATATGACATAGTCACTAATGAATTTTGATAACAGATACTCAAGAATGAAAGAAATATTGTTAGTAATTATTCTACATATAACCAGTCACCAGTGAATTATAGGTCAAATTAATAAAATTACTATACTGTAGAACTTCCGTTTTATCTCTCACCTTATATAGAAGACATTGAGAACTGTGGAAGTAACATAGTAAGTAAGAACGTTTTGTTTAAATAGATGACCTATGAATTTCTATGAATCTTTGTCAACCTAGATTAATATTCAGAACCTGAGACAACTAATCTTCATAACTCGTATTGATAATTCACACGGTGTATCTGTAACAAAGAAAATATGTGCACTTCCCCGACCTCAGTGATTGATTAAATGGATTCTTAGTCTCCGGTACTGTGACACAAATGTTATTTATGTGGTATATATAGTCTAATAATTATACTTACATCTTAGCGTCTTGTCTTATTTGTAGGGTTAAGGTAGTTTCAACTGCCCTGCTTCTTTTGCAATTATATCCATAAATGTCTTGGATAACCTTCAAATCATTTACATTTCACTTGACTGGAAACTATAGTTGAAGGATTTCTCATTTGAGTTTTTACTATGGAATTGACGTAAGCTGGTAACACAGTAGTTGAAAAATTTATTAATATGAGTCAATTTCCTTCAAATCCCTGGAAAAAAATCATGCTAACGTTTGTGTAATGAAATGAAAGGAAGATTTTATCTAAATGTGCCCGTTTTACATAAACGATGTACCAAATATGAAGTATTAATCATAATTTTGATTTCTTTCTATATATGATGGAACAGAATTGTATAACACCGTTACATGTAGCTGCTAAATGGGGAAAGAACGAAGTTCTAGGTGAATTGATACTAGCAGGAGCTGAAGTAAATAGTCGTACGCGAGATGGACTAACACCTTTACACTGTGCATCTCGTGCGGGTCAAACTGCTACGGTGGAATATTTATTGAAAAATGGAGCTGATCACACTTTGAAAACAAAGGTACTTTCCACACTTTTTCTATGATGTACAATTTAATTAGTATATAGTTTATAGAAAATAATGTGAATACTGAATAAATATGACAAGTCGTACTGTCAGTTGTTTGAGGTTAGACATAACCTTTAACCTTAGCATATATTAAGTATGTCATCTGATGCTAACAGGGAAACATATCTTTAACAAAATGTACTTTATTTAAAAAGTAATGACTGGAGTAGAGTAGTGATTCACATTGATAAGGTTATTTTTTAAACCGAAGTTATATGAAACCTATATAATTTACTGTATTTTGATTAAGACAGTCGGTAAATTATGATAGGACTGGCTGGTCGTGTTAATTTGTTGACTAACGACTTAACAAATCACTACAATGGATAATATAAAATAACTTGTTTGAATAGTTGGATAAGTAACTTACATTTCTAGGAAAGAAGACTGCAATTTTATGTTTAAAAGTCTGATATATTACCTATTAAGCCACCATCAAACTTCAAATGCATTCGGGATTTTCGCAAACATTTAGAGGAGCTGAACTGATATCCGATACTAGAAATATACATCAGAAATTTTTATTGAGATTGGGCAGTCAAATTATTTTACTCATCTCAATAAAATATGGCATTTGACCGTTATCTGGCAAACACATTTCGTGACAATTGGAGAAATATTCTGACAATATTTAGTGTTATACAAGATCAAAGTAACATGAAAAGAAATGACTGTTGTGTAATTTGTTTACACTAAATTTTCATCAAACTAAATCTTCAAACAGATTTTTTATTTATTTATTTATTATTTATTATTATAAGCTTTATTCAATATTATATTTGCGGTACAATATAGAATTCTCAGCACAAAGTATTTCAACAAGTTTCCGTTTCTTTCTTCTGGGTCGATCCTGACGATAAATATTGAGTGATAGCCAGTTAGATGTTAGCAGTCCAGTAAATAAACATCTGAATAATGTATATTCTTTTCTCTGCATATTGCCAGCGACCACATTATCTCTTATTGAGCTTTTAGTAACTTTGACAACGAAAGGTTGTAAACTTTTCAGAAATGCACAAGGATGGGTTATGCGATTAATATACATAATGATATATTAAAACAAACAAAAATAGATAACTTATTGAAATATTTAGATGACAGGAACAGGTAGCCCAGATGCTCAAGTTTTCTATACATCAAGACCCTATCATTCAATACCAATCACAAGTTATTAATAACCTTATCTTTAATTATTTACTTTATATCAAAACAATACAAAGGTTCATTGCGATGTGGACTATCTAATTATCAGTTTTTAATAAAGTTTTCACAGTAGAAATACTGACGAGATTCGCACGCTTTCTTTCCAAAATTTGTAAAGTTAAATCTGACATGTTCATTTTTAATCTTGGAAAATAGTTGAATAAGTGGTACTAATAATTCCCACACTTTTATTATTAATCTTTTATAAAGATGATACATAGAATCATCATTGTGACTAGAGTATATAAAATACTTTTCTTCTTTGTGATATTTAGATGAGGTAGTTAATAAATTCTAAGAAGTGAAGAAACTATAAAAAATAATTCAATACTTAATATTCTTAGGATAAATGTTTCAACATTTGAATACGTAATTCTATTTCATATGTTTCTGTACATTTTTCTTGGCAGAATGACTTGACGCCATTGCATTTAGCTGCACAAGGTGCTAATGAAAGTGTTGTACGATTACTATTGCGGAATGGTTCTAATCCGGATGATGTGACGATTGTAAGTTACAAATAATATTTAAGGCATACTACATTAAGACCAAAGAAAACGTTGAATTAGTGTTGCTTCTAATAATAATTTGTGTTACCATAACAACTTATAATTACTTTTACCGATATTTTGATAGTATAGCATGCTTCTACCAATTAGAAACAAACTACTTAAATATTCCTTCATCTTAACCTTGATTTATCGATTACTTTTCTCTCTAAAGGACGTCATTTGTTTTGAAAGCAGAATTTATACAAGTACTTGTAAAACAAACTTTAAATAACATTATTTCCACTCAAATAACAAAAGTAAACTTGTTTGACGTCAGAAATAACTAGACATGGAACCTTTCAATCATTGTCTCAGAATAGAGACAATCTTCAAGTCAAGCTCATTTTTAGAATCTTGCGTTATAAATCAGTATCCTCGAGGGATCTTGGCCTTCGATGTCATGTTTCGTGAAAAGTCTTAAAGAAATCTGTGGCTGAAGAAACATTATTACACTGTGAAGGAAAGTACTCTTCAAAAAATATTCTTAATTCGTCATTTTGTTTTTTCATTTGGAAATATACAAAATAAGAAAACTTGAAAGGTTTGTACCAAACCCTAATAATCGTTATTGTCTAATGGTTAAGCACTGCACCTGTTATTGTCTGTTTCTAAAGCATCTACTGGTACCTAAACAACTAAGTATCGTTATAAATTGAATTTAATTGCGTTTATGTAAGATGGTCACCTGTTATCATCAGCAGTATGTCTAACATAAAAAGGAATTGTTATTTGATATTTATATCTTACTTTAGTCATCTGAACAACATTCATTCATAGTATCGTCAATTTACCAACAAATTTTCGTTGCATTCTTTGACAACCGATGTACAAATCATTAAAGTCTTCCGAATTTCCAAGTTATGGGAAGAGAATGCTGAACAACCTTTGCTACCAAGAATTATGTAGTTCACATACTGTTTGAGTTGGAGGTAGCGATAATTATCAATAGAAATTGCAAAAATCTTATAAAAATTCGTTTCGATTAATGTTTTATTTAATATTAACCAAGTGTGAACCAATAATTCAACTATAACACTCCTTAACAACGAGTCTACTTATGACCCATTAATAATTAACCGTAAATGAGGATACTACCGAGAATATAAAGCATAAAAACTTAACTATTTGTCAGACCATTTAAATCATCTCTGTCTTTTCGTCTCATAGGATTATCTCACCCCTCTACATGTTGCAGCTCATTGCGGTAACGTGGATGTGGCTCGTGCTTTATTGAATTCCCATTGTAATGTTAATGCAAGAGCTCTGGTAAGTCAACCAAAGCAATAACTGGTAAAGTAAAAATTTACTTATACTAAAATAAGAACGTGAACAAATTTATCACTTGAAGGCTTATCAGAAAGGCAAAAACAAATATCCAGATTAGTCCAGCTGCTGAAGATAATGATTTAGTTCATTTGTAAACTAAACTGTGTACTGTAAAGGTTGGAGAGTGATCTAGAGGGTTATATGTACGGGAAAATGCTTATGACTGACAAATTATGAAACTGACTTTGAAGTTGAACTTAGATTTTAGTTGAAGAACTCTTTATCACGATATAGCAACGAGTGATACAATCACAAGTCATCCAAAATCGCTCCAATGAATGTTCGCTTAGTAGCCTTGTGAATAGAGCCGAAAAATGTTTGGATTATTGAGCGTTAAAAAAACACTGAAGCCCACGGTGATACTTAAATTATATTCAGAATACATAATAATGAAATTAAAAACAAACGAGGCACAATAATCAAACGTGAAAAAAGTATGAAATTTGACACCAGTTATAAATTTTATAATGACAAACAGAATGGAACAGCCGAATCTATGCAATATTTTATGCAGCGTCAACATAAATCAATCGTTTTGGCAGTTTATCGCATTGGCAATTGTATGCCAAAAACGTCAAACAAAGTTATTAAGATGGTGGAAGCACTGGTTATTCAGATTGAAAGACCGAAGCTTCGTGTACAAAACAAATTTATTTAGTCTCTTCTTTTACCCTGACCCATCTCAGGCCCAATAGGCCAGTGGTCGTATCAGTTTAACCAATATACATTCGGTCTTCCCCTTTTGTATTTTCATATTTCAAATTCCTGTTATTCGAATATTGTTACTGTAATTGTTATTATTACTACCAGTATTATTATTATTATTTCACATGACCTTGCGTTATTATTATTATTATTATTATTATTATTATTATTATTATTATTATGTCCACCATTATTATTAGTCTTGTAAGCACATGAAGAAACTAGTTAGGATTAACCCCATTTTATTGTTTCCTACTTAATTCCTACCATTTCCTGCACTAAGTTATCTTCCATTAAACATCTGATGCAATTTATACCCACATTATTATTTCTCTCACTTCTTGTTATCCATATTTATTCTAACTAATAATCTCACAAATCCAACTGACTCATATACTGATTCTAGTTAACAATACATGCTAGTCATTTCAGACTTAATCAGTTTATTTTCTTTTCCGAACGATCCTAAATTCACATTTCATAGTTTCAAAAGATGTATTTGCCTTAAACTCGGTAATTTTTTGTTTGATTGATTTGGATATATGTATAACTACGTAGCTTGAAGAGAATTTGTTGGAAAGAATATTCTTCATCCATCTTTCTGTGTTTTCAGTACCTCTAGGATTTTCAAACAGCTTATTTAACTGTCGAAAGTCATTTTATAATTATCTCCAGCTTAGGCTGTTTATTATAAGTCACTAAACGTGAACATGGTCAAAGAAATAATGATTGACGTTGGAAACCCCAAATCGTCCACTCTCAGCCTTCATAACCATTTTGTATCCAGGTCAAATACAATCGATGCATATACAACATTAATAATAATAACAGCCCAATGAATGCGAATTTCAATAAGTTGTCTCATTGAGTAGCTGTTTATTTTAGCTTTTATTCATACCAGTTAGTATTCCGAGAAAGCCACATAGCAGGGCTAACAAAAGGATCCCTTCTTAAATTTACCCAGATGAACGATAACTAGTTTTCTAGCCTTATTCTGAAAGAGATATGTAGTTTCCCCCTTTAAACTATTTATCTATGTTTGTTGTTTAGAGTTCCTACATTTTGTTTTGCTATTTATACAGAATGGGTTTACTGCACTTCATATCGCATGCAAAAAGTCACGAGTTGAAATGGCTTCAGTTCTTCTTAAATATGGCGCTCTACTTGAAGCAGCCACGGAGGTAAGTAGTTGCCAATTATTTTGTTGCTTTTCTTGAGGTTTATCGACTTGCTTTTAAAAGTCTGTGGATATTGGTGTACATTCCTAGATAAATGCTTTCACTAATTAACACCAAATTATTTGTCGAACAAACGTTGAAACCCCTTAATTTTAAAATCAATTAAAGCCTACAACATCCCTGAAGCTCTCCGCTTACGACATTTTTCCTGTACAGTGGAGAACGTTTTGAAGTAGTCATGGATTGACTTATCACTGCAGTTCTTTATCATCCGAGAGCATAGTAATGGCTTCATCCCCAATCGGATTACGTGAATTTTCTCCAGAATAATGTGTTATCCACGTTCCAAATTTACACGGAAATTATTTGTGAAATTTAAATTTTCCTATTCGAAATGTCTGTAGAAATTACAATGGCCAAAATTTTCACAATTGTTTTGCATGGAAGTATGAGAAACAGATAGTAACCATCGAGTTGTAGTGAAACTGTTTGTACTTTAAAGAGCAATACAGTGTTAAGGAATAATATTATACAGTTAATCCCTGTCTACTTAAATAATAATAAACGAAACTTGCTATAGAAAATTTAGCATCTTGTAAGGCAGTTTATCACTTGGATGGAAAAATATAACGAGAATTATAATTACACTTTTGGTGTGTAAGAGTTTTCAGCTGTCAGCCTCGTCTAATATAAATTTTGTGTTCAAAGAATTTTCGTTACAGATAGCTTTTGCTTTTGAGTTCACCAAGAAGTTTTCAGTCATCTTTGTGTTCCCCTGAATATTTTAAAACAGATTTTCAAAGGTTAAATTTATTTTACACTCTTAAAAAACCAAATATGTAAAACACATTTACTGAAATAACAATAACTTTGAAAGTGATCATTTTGTTTTCTATTCATCTACATTTTATTGAAATGTCAGACTGGTCTCACTCCATTACATGTGGCTGCATTTTTTGGGTGTACGGACATTGTCTCATTTCTTTTACAACATGGTACGAATGTGAATCAAACAACGTTGCGTAATGAAACTGCACTACATTTAGCGGCTAGAAATAAACAACTGGAGACAGTGAAAACTCTTCTTGGTTACCAGGCAAATTTAGATTGCCGTACAAGAGTAAGTTATTGACGTGTAAGATAAAACCATTAAGATTTGAATACATTTGGTTTTTAGGTAGATAATGAAAGTTTTGGAACAAGTTCAACACAAAATGTAGTCAATATCTAAGGCCGTTCATTTTAACATCACTTAGTTTGACCCTCATTCAACACCCATATTAAAAATGTTCATACTCTTTTAGTGAAGAATGTTGCTTACTTTTCAGGATCCCCCAGCATTCGCTAACTAATAGATGCATCGGATATAGGTATGAGTCCAGATTACGAGTAGCGAACGAACTATGAGTCTACTTTATATTAATCAGTTGAAGTGGACTTTACTGTAAGAGTTTATGTTTATAGGCTTATAGTTAATGATTGAAAGTAATCTAGACTCAATATACTCGATAACTATCTACTAATTTCTGAAATAAATCTAGAGTGAGGAAACCTTTCTATGTTCAGTCAGAAAATAAGATATCTAAAAGATTTACCCACACACCTACTAAATTGAAAATGGATATAATACCGATTGAATTATTTTACTACAAGCAAAGACAGGAATGCATCATGATCTATGGTAATCTGATTATATCAATGTGAATTAAAGAATAAGAACTAAGCTTCAATTTTCATGTGATCAAGAATCTTTACTATGAAACAAACAAAACATGAAATGACTTTAATACAGTGAAAATATAGTCATGTTATAGAAAATAAAATTATTTACAGATTGTCTTGACTACATATTTCTTCTTTATTAGGATAATCAAACACCCTTACATGTCGCTGTCCGTACAAACTATCTGCCAATTGTTGAATTGTTATTGAATGCTGGGTCTGATCCTAATATAATGACAAAAGATAATTATACACCATTACACATGGCTATTAAAGAAGACTCAGAAGATATTGTTAGAATATTGATTGAGCACGATGCTAATCCGGAAGTTAAAACAAAGGTGAGTCAATGTTGCCTATTTATTTCTTAAGCAGGCTCTACTTTTAATAACCAAGTTTTAAATTGAGAAATAAAAACTGATTTATTCACCGATTGATTTGATGCCAATAACTAATTCGTTAATAATATGTTACTGTACACTTCCCCATATTTAATTAAGACGCATTCTAACACTGTCACTCATTTTCAGCACTTAATCAATATCAGCCAGCTTTTGAGAAAGCCCTACTAGAATACAGAGCTTCGAACTTATTTACGGTAATTCACATATTCAAAATCAGTCCATTAAAATGAAATCACAAACCATGTTCTAAACATATATGATATTTTAGTATGCATGTTCATGAGACTAATTGGTTAAAAATTACAAGTAATTTGGTGACGACATTCTTCGGAAGCGACAAAAAATAAAGTCTACAAACTAATTAATATCTTATTATTTGTTATAAAAGATTGACAAGTATATGAGATCGGATGAAATCTTAACAAAAGGTTTGATGAACAACAAATTAGGTCAACATAACACCCTGAATAATTAAATAGAAAATATAGTTTCATATAAATAACAGCGTTTCTTAGACTTCGAAACCAATCCCTCGTTGTTTTATCAGCATAGTTGCGGTAGCATAAATTCACTTAATGATTTGTTTGGTTCACGTGTTACACTTACTAGTTATTATAATAAATACATTTGCAAATTTTATTTTCAACAGAAAGGATTTACACCCTTACACTTAGCAGCAAAATATGGTTCATGCAAAACAGCTCACTTGTTAATGGACAGAGCAAAGTCTGATCCGAACGCAACTGGTCCCAATGGCTTCACGCCTGTACATGTGGCCACATATTACAATAATAACAAAGTAAGTTGTCATGATTTTGTAAGCGTTCAACTGCTGCTTCATTTTCGTTTATTCAGCCACGCCATTATTTGTCTTTTATTATATTAAATACTAATTTTCAGGTACCAAGATGAGTTATATTTGTAGTTGAGTAATTCAACGATAGTTCTTGTCAGAAATGTTTAATTAATAATCGAAAACAAATGAATTTATCAACATGATTTCATAACAGCTTAATGTTACTAAGTGCTAACATACGTAATGTTTTGAACAGGACGAAACTAGAAACTAGACTATCATAGAGGGTGTTTACTATTACCAGGATACCTCTAAACTTTAATCATAGAATTTACTAAGTATAATTAGAAATAAATTAGTGTTAGGTTAACTGTTTATAGTATTATTTTTGTACATATAAAATTTGGTCTGTCAATCAATGCTAAATAATTGGAAAGGAACTGATTCTAGTGGTCGAAAATGGTGGGCTATAAACGGTTTACGAATTGTAAATCACATTTCGAACCAACGATATTCCTATGTGGGTCGCGAACTATTAGTGATATAAATAATAATTAATAGTTGCATTTAATAAAATAAACTGTCCCATCGAAAATGTTTTCAAGCTTCAATTTGTGACACAAATTGAATAGTTAAGCGTCTGTCATTCATACAACAGCTACGTAACAATACTGAATTACAAAAATAAATAGACTTTAAAATTTGAGTATCAGTCTGATAGCATAAATATTGCTGGTTCGAATCTATTTAAAATACAAGTTTTTAAATTTTACCCAAATTCCTGAAACAAATAATCGATAAAACGAGACTAAAGTAGATGGTCTAAATGTAAATTCTAACTGTTTCAAATATTTCATCTAGAAAGATGAGAGCTAGTTTAACTTTGATTTAAGATCACGTCAAAATAGCTAGAACCATTTAATTTATATACAGTAATGTCGATACAAATAAGGCAAAATAATGTTAGATGCAATAGCAACATCTGATGTATTCCAAAGGTAGTGTTTTGAAATAAATTCACAATTCTAAGAGATTAGAAACCCCTTTCGAAGTAATATCCAAATGGTTGAAACCAGTATTGAGAAAAATTGTTCCTTTTTGAATATTTTATGGAAATTTTTAAACTGCAGCATTCTATTTGGTCGAATTAAATCCTAACCCGAAAACCATACATATAATAATAATAAGATAGGCCCACTATACCTTACTAATGTCTTATCAACTAAATAGTTATTACATTATTAGTGATAATAAAATCCTGCTAAACATGGTAACGGTGAGGTAGTTTCCTTAATAAAAATGACATATGCTTTTATTTATTCAGGCTCACTGTTACCATGTTTAGCGAAATTTAATTGTCACTATAATCGTAATAGTTATCATTTTGAGAAATAATTATATTTGGAATTGTATAGCTTTGAAAATGAATTTGCTGAAGTGAACTCTTCGCTGAACCAGTCTTATTTTATGTTTCAATGGGTATATTCTGTTTACACAATAATTGTTTCGTAAATAATTATATCTTTAAAAAATTTGCTTGAACTGGATAACTGATACTTGAGGAACATCCCCTGAGTTTGAGAAATGCGGAAATCAGTCAGATTTATAAGGACGAATATTTTCCAATATATAGTTTAAGACATACTATAAAGTAATGTGAGCACATGAGGATCATAAATTTAATTCTTCAATAGCAGATAACCAGACGAAAGTGATCTAAATACCATTCATCCGTTAATTAGTTGTTATTGATGATTTCTTCTATAAGTAGAGGATCATGGAGAAAGTAAAACTCAGAGACTACAATTTCTTAGCACATTGACCATAAATAACCGAAGTTTATAAGAAATTAGATGTTTTATATCATGAACTGACTTCAGTTAGATAACCATTGAAAACTAGGGAGCAGTCGACAGCTATGGAAAGGTGGGTGACATGGCTCAGAATCGATCACAATGGCGTCGGTGTATACACTCTCTGTCTTCCCTTAAACTACGAGATTAAAATCACTTCATATCTTTCTTTCTACGAACTAATTCTTTCTTCCTGTACTATATCCTTATTGCAATCTTTCTTTTATATATTACCACCTCTGAATCAACTACTTTTATGAATCCGGTGTCCATCTTGTTGTGTTAATGAGGTATGGCAACTTGGACCGATGCATATATGTGCCTGGTCCTACGTTGTGGCCGACTGACTGATGGAAAGGTGAAGACTAAAAGTGAGGAAAAGGCTTCAGTAATCAAGGGAATGTAGGCCGCGACTTGGGTCTGGTGGATAACTTACAAATCCACGGACGCATGAATGAAGAGAGTTTTTTTCTGAGTAAGCTGTCATAGAATTTTACTTACAAATGTAGAACCTGATGAGAGTTTCTTGAAAAGAATATTCCATGTTTTAATATCGTTTTAGACAGTTGGATAATTTGCTCACGATAGGCCTATCACAATTTTTATTTCACGAGCACCGTGCGACCTTACAAGAGCACTTAATCAGTCTGGTATTGCAGCAATCTGGGATCTGTTTGGGCTCGTCTACCTGTTAGTTTTTCATGCAAAATAATCAACTGAGTTATTATTCAATTAACTGAACTTTGGATTAACTTCTATGGCTATCTACTACAACTTAAACCACCATGAGTACCTAACACTTGTCTTACTGTTGATCCTATTTCAGTCCTAAACATGCAAACCATATATGATTATGGGTTATGATCACCAAGTTTGTGAGGTTGAGACTGTTTATTCCATTCATAATCATTCCTAAAACATTAGTGATTTTCTTCATTTGACAATAACGTCAAATCAGTTGAAACTTATATTTAATTTTGCATTTACTTTAAAGATGTTGGATAAATTGACAGAATTTGGAGGTGATGTCAATCGACCTGTTAAGAATGGCTTTACACCACTTCATCTGGCAGCCAAACGAAATAATCTAGATTCAATCCATTTATTAGCATCTAAAGGAGCCGTAACTGATAAGGGTTCAAGGAACGGTTATACACCACTTCATTTAGCTTCACAAGATGGTCAAATCGAAATAGTTAAAGTTCTTGTTGAAAAATACAAAGCTCAAGTGAATACTGCAGCCAAGGTATGTGTTGTGTAGACAAACTGATATCCCCATAAGAAGTAGCATCCACTTTCATTTATTTTTTAATTTACACTTTCATTGTACTGAGGAATCGCTCAATATATATTTCATTTATTAGGATAAGCTTAACCATCCAAAAACAAATTTGAATTTCGTGAATGACTCATCTTCATTGGATTGAAAATTGCCCAAACGTAATCAAATTCTGAATGTAAAATATACAGACTCCATTAAGACTGTACTAAACCAGGTCTGTCAGCTTCAGAATTATGGATACAACGTTTCTGTTTTACCCGTCTTCTAACAGTGATCAGTTCAAGAGATTGATCGTTAAGCTGATTATATGCTTAGATCTACGAACTTAAATTCCTTATTTCTTTATCTCATTCTATATACTTACAATATATCACTTTTATAGGATGGTTTAACACCACTACATTTGGCGGTACAGGAAGACAAAGCTAACGTAGCCGAATATTTATTAAGTTCAGGCGCATCCATTGATACGAAGACACTGAAAGCTGGGTTTACACCACTACATTCATCTGCTTATAGGGGACAGCTCGCCTCTGTTCGTCTACTTCTATCATGTGTCCCTGAACATCAACTTCAGCAAGTTATAAACAGTCGCACTCATATGGGTTCAACTCCACTGCATTTGGCAGCCCAACAAGGTCATCTACAAGTAGCTCTAAAACTGATTCAAATGGGAGCTGATGCAAACATTTGTAATAAGGTAATTTTTAAAAAATCTTATCACACTAATTATAACTTCAATGTTTATACTTGCCTGTGAACACTATTTCTTTAGGTCAAGCGTATGTCTAGTTACAGAGTTTTGTTGATATTGTTTAAATGTAAATAATGCTCGGCTAAATTTTCATAACTTTTGATTTTTTAGCAAGGATGGACAGCAGCAAAATTAGCTCATAAGCAGCATTATTTGAACTTGTTCGAATTGTTGCAATCAGTTACAACTAATGACGGTGACGGAGGTTTACCTAGTTCAAATGGAATAGATGATAATGTAAATCTAATCCACGGTGTAATGCCCTTAGAAAAAGCGGAATATATGACTGATCATATGATCTCAGATAGTGAAGATGAAGGTAGTAAAATTTTTAATTTTTTTACTATAAAACTGAATTATTTGTCAAATAAATTATTGAATTACTGTACAAAATACACTGCTCTATTTAGTTTCATTCAGCAGTAGTTATGTAACCACCTTACGCACTACATCAGAGCAACTAATTATTAGACATTCACTGATATCAAGAATTTTTAACCCGTATGGAGCATGTCCCTTCTGAACACAACTTTATACTTGCTTATACTTATTCATTAAATGAAATTTTTTTAACACTAAGGATTTTAATTTTGACAATGAAAATAGATCCAGAATCTTTGAAAAAATCTTGTGCAGTCATGAATCGGTAGTAATACTTTCCACTCATATCATTAATGATAGTTTCAGTAACAATGAATAAGGTGAAGGAAATGGTTAACCTAGTGAGAAAATATCAAATTAGAATATTAAGCAGATTAATTTATGTTTAAAAAATATACTATTCGATATTAGCACTTGAAGGACAAGACTATTTTACTCGTCTTTCTAAGGAGCATCTACTTGAAACAAAAGGATTCAGATCATGCATTAGTATTTATTGTGATTCATATGATTTCTTTGTTTATTTTTTTTGTTATTACAGGGAAGTAATTAGGATATTAGTTACCAACTGAGAAATGTGTCCTGAAAGCCTGATATTAGTAAGAACTGTCATTCAGTACCTGAAGTAAAATTCAGTTCAATGCAGTAAAACACAAATTTCTTTCCCACTAAAATGAATTCTATTTGATTTAATAAAGATTCACGTTTTGAAAATGGGACATCGTTTTGAGAGAATCTCGTAGTATTAGTCTATAACATTCTTTACATAAAATAAATTAATACTAATACTCATAGTTAACTTTACACATAATCAATAATTTCAGAAACTATTATACACGATCATAAGAACCGCATAAGAAATACATTTTTATATATGAATATCTTAATCTATAAGTGTTGTCATTAATAAATGTTTTTTTGATGGTATTTTTGTGTTAATATGCAGCCGACCTTTTATGTACACCAGCAATGTTTCGATATCCTGAACAACGTAAAGAAACGTTAGATGAACCAGGTAGGAGTTTTACGCCGAATACATTTGCCCTACGTATAAATGTTTGACTTTAAAGGGTTTTATTTATGATTATTGTTCATTCAAATTACCTTTCTAAATTTCTACATTTGACTAACATCTAATCACGTTTAAAACCATGGTAGCCAAAATTCATAACATTGTCAACTACACGAGACATTTTCAGTGCATTTAAAAATGTAGACAAGTAATTGTAGAGTGTTGGTAGTTACTCAGTGAATTATTTATAGCACTGATAAAGACAATAGGTAAAAAAATCGATTACACTTAAATACATTAATAAATAAACTAAGAATATAATTTTCAATGAATTACTGTCGAGTCCTACAGTCACAATTTCAAATAATGGTAAAGAATTTTTTTTAGTTGGGGTCAAACTCATTTTTATTAGCCAGTTACATACGTAAGTAAAGTAGGTTTGCTAAAGTTTGGTAGATATTGTGATGACAAGTATGCGTTGATTGCTTCATTCAAGCTTGTGATCAAATAACAATATGAAATTATTAATTTGATTTAAAATACGTAATTAAAATAGGGGGGGGTGATGAGTAAATGGTTCACTTGTGTAACATCTCGTAATGTTACTTGACTTACTAGTCCACTCAATAACTTCAAAACGTTGACCGCCTTATATTGCTTACACTATTAAATTTATAGTTTGTTAAAAGATGTAAATAACCAAGCATAAGAAACTTGTTTATGCTTGCCTTGTAACTCTTTTGGATCATTAATTTGAACTTTTGGCTATATAAGTTAATGATTTACAAGAGAAACATATTCTTCATATGTATAACAAGTAAACAATTAAATGGACGTTTTAGTCTATATAAATCTATATTAACAATGTAAGCTATATATATCAGTATGTATTGATTCAGGTTATCAGAGTTCACATCACTACAAGGAGCGACAACCTGTAGGGGAAAGCTAGGAAAGAAAATAGTAACAACGCAATAATAGTCAAGTCAAAACAATGAAGATTTCCAATAGAAAGATGAAAGTAAAGAATGAAGCGTTTGGCATCATATCGTGTTCATGATTAAGAGGATAATAATGAATGCGCTGTTTGGTTTAAATGCAAAATACTATGAAAAATGTAATCTAAGATTTGAAACCATAAACAGGATATCTAAAACTTTTCAAATGACTTACACCAACAATGAGTGATTTCATAACCCTATGACAAGTCGTGAAATAACTTCTCATACTACTTTTTGCTTGCTCCATTAACAAGTCTTGGATTTGGGCGCGAAATTCGCACACCCACTTGTCTAAATAGCGTCTTGTCAGTTCGTGATGAAAAACCGTAAATCTAATTCCTAAACTCAATCATCAACTGTGAATCATATTCCTTATTCTTCAAATTACTTTATAACCCTCATTTAGCCCTAGTAAGTAGGTAGACACTCTCAAGATCACTTTGGAGTCGCTCAAAGATCGTCCATAAATCATGGTCTCAGCAATTGTTCTTGCTGTTACTTACCTTAGATGCTGTACAAAAGACAAAGTGTTGAAATACATTTATTTCTCCTAATGTAAAAAATAATTCAAAACAGAATACTGTCCAGATAAGTAATCAGACTACTTGAATTTAGACAAAATATTACTTTTCCTCTCAAATTCACTATGATCTACATATAATGATGGACTTAAGTACATACCTGTCGATCACTATAACAATGCACTCAAAACCAAATACTTAACTTGGTGAGATGAGTACGTATGCATGGTTTCATTCATACAAACTTTTAGCACCAAAACTAGGGCCTAATTATCAGTTAAACCTAGTGACAGATCAACAAAATTGTCATGTTGCCCATTGACAAAGTTGCAAGATAATAGTTTCTGGTATCTGCTTAGGCTTAAACTCTAATGTATTCATCTAAAAGTAGTTCCACAGTTAAGAAAAAAATCAAGCAGTTATTAGCTTATTACCCTTAGGATATGAGGAATAATCAGCGCATATTTGAGAGCTTTAAATTATTTTTATTCTCATTTACTGCTATTGATTTGTTTGTGTCCACAGCTTAACACTGAAAACATCTTTCTCATGATTGCCGGTTGTATGTATGCTAACAGACGGATGTCACTTTACATCCAAACATTCACAGTTAACCACACTGGTGTCTGAAATCAGTGCTTACCTATCACACCTTATCGCTGGTGGACATACGACTTTAAATAGACTAAAGTTTCACTTTATGCACCCTAATTATGGCACTTCAAATGTTCTGCCAAATTAACTTGAAGAAACAAGCGAAGGGAAATTTAGGCGAAGCGAAATTTTATTTACTGAACTTGATATAATTTTATCTATAAATTGAACTAGTTGCATAAATTAATTAACTACAGTTCCATTTTTCAACACTTACACCATGGTACAAAAACCCTTCCTCAAAACCATTTTTGAAATAACATTGGGAATAGGACTGCTGTTTTAAAATTTTGTACATACTTTTGTTTGTCTGTTTTTCCTCTGCATGAAACTGCTCAAATGTATCTTCGCTGATCACGAATCTGGTATGTTAATATAATAACACTGCTGTTGTTTGTATCATAAACCAAATACGATCCACTGCATCGAATTAGCAGATAACGATATAACATCAATTCCAAGTACACCAACTTTGGATAATAAACTCATATCAATCCGCCCAACAACACTGCGTATTCCTGAATATTTAACTGGTGAGTAGAATAGTTTTAAATATACTGACTGCATATTTCGTATATTAGTTTGCTGTAAATAATGTAGTGGTTTTCACAAGAATTCGTTTCAAATAATAGCGAGTAAGATATCAACAAGGGGAAATGCTTAAGAATATGTCAATTATTTCGAAACGTTATTAGCAAATCTTTTATTTGCAGCAAGATTCATGATTCATAGTAAACAATTAAGGATTTGTTATAATTCAACCACGTAAATAATAATCGCGGTTGCAAAAGTAGCTGATAAGAAATTTTATCAACTGTATGAAATTAATCTGAAAATTATAATACCAGATATTCCTTTTTATAAACTGACATCATAATACAAAACAACACTGTGAAAGTTAGCACTTTTACACTCAAAGTAATATTGTGACTCGCTCACCTTCTAAAACCCTTCTTTGTATATGTATTGATTATGGAATATTTATTTCGGGACTCCTGTAAAATGTTAAACATACATATTGCTCTTTAAAATGTACCATGATTACAGTTTATAAACACAGAAATAGTGTAATTTGAATGTATTAGGATGGAAAAATATATGTACTGTAACCAGAGTTATGTCCTACATTTTTCTTTAACAAATTTTTAATAAGTCAGTTGTTTCTATTCAATAGATCACCCAAAACCAATACAAACTAACAGACATTGATATTAAATTATATTTATACTGCGAACAATATTGTTTAATATATAAAGGAGAATATTAGCATATGTTCCCATTTACATTCTGTAATAACATGTCCCTAATAAGGTAGATTTACTAATGGAAAATGTATATCTCATTTTTATTCAAATGGCGATGAAAAAATCAAATACATAAAAGCCATTATGCTCCATTGATTGGATTCAGAACACTATCATGTCTCAAGATAAAAATTACTCAAATAGATCAGACAAAAAACCAATTTAATCAAAAAATGCCAATAAAGTGTATGGAGAGGACACTATTAGAAAAAACATGCCAGTTGACTTGAAGCTTTCTTATGTGTGGAAATATCCACAAAAGCCTCTTATTGTGACAGTGTGCATTTGAGTTCTTCTACAGCTTTATTTTAAAAAATGGTCCTTTGTAATACTATATAGTTCCTAGCATTTCAGACATGAGAATTAGTTATTACTATGATTATTTTAAATTGGTATCAGGTTTGGTTCAGCTACTTCATTTTGACTCTACGTTGGTCTCAATTAAACTTAAGCAACAACTTCAACTCAGAAGTATAAATTTTACTTACTATTTACACATGATTCATTGTACCTGTTTTTGTTTTTTTCTTAAACGGGAATATCCTTGAGACCTTGGTGTCTAGCTACGAGCGGCGGACATTTTTGACGAAGATCGGATTTGTATACCTGGCGGTTCTTCATGAATTGCTGTGAATTAGGTCATGGTTTGTAAGGCGATTGAACGAATCCGCTTGATCGCTTCCGTATATTGTATTGTTAGCTTATTAAATTGGACACACTGTTCCGTTTGAAGTCGCGATTCTATAAGCACGTTACTATAAGCCAAAATTGACACTGCTCATTGAAATAATATGAACAATAAGCATATACATAGATTTCAAATAATTTTACGCAAAAACAACCTTTCACTATGTTTGATACCTGCAGATGTTTTTTTAAAATCTACCTATTCAACGGTCTCATACAATTTTATCATAGCTAAACGTAATTAACCCATGATTTGTATTAGCTATTTAAATAATACTCATTCTTTACATAGGTTGCACAAATTTTTGACGCCGGCAACTATAGTTTTTGAATGTCTGTACAAATAGGCAGAGAATTCCATTCATTCAAGTTAAACTTATCAACGAAGATAAATTCCCACACTATGTAACTGTGATGCTAATCAAACATTATTAATTGTTCAGTTACTTTCCTTCTAATCAATTTTCTGTTGTATCATTTACTTATTTTAAGCCTTAGGAGGTGAAACTCTTTGCTCTGGTCTTCATGAAAGTATGACCGAAGAACGTGTGAAGCCAATGCTCAATGGAAAAGTACGTGTTTCTCCAATAATGTAACTTGATTTACTGATGCTTAAGAGGAGATACTTAATACAGCCTTATTTAGGGCATTGTTTAGCATTATAGAAAAAACAAGTTCATCGTTACGGTTCATAGATATTTTTAGCCTTTTATTAACTTGAACAACAATCGTCCTCATTATACATAAATGACACGAGATCACACTCTGCTTTTAATTACATTTTATGAAATAGTGAATCGGATTAGTGTTACTAGTCTGAGCTCCTGCACTCGACTTCGTACCTACTATACATTAAATATCCGTCTGTTTCTAAGTCCCTTTCAAAATGAAGACTTTTACTTTAGTCGTTATATAACAATAATTTAGCGTAATTTGATAAACGAATAAACCCCATCAGACTCATACTTGGAATATCGTCCAATTTACATCAGGGTAATAAGTGTAAATTCCTTGAAGATACAAAACATCTGTTCAGAATAAAAACAGCACTTAAAAGTTATATTTTACTAAGAATTATAAAATGAACCACAAAGAGAAAGAATAGATAACTCTGTTCTTAAAATCGAATAGGGTAGGTATTTCAAAACACTCACAGTTTCAATATCTGTTACCATTTACTTGCCCTAAACTCTGAGCTGCCAATTAAATGACACACTAAAAATTTGGTAGAATACTTCTCAATGTGAATTAGTAGTTGGGTATTTGTAGGCACAAATCGATCACATAATTCTGATAATCTTCATCTTCTCATAGCATTGTTCAAATATTGTAGTCTAACTCTGTTATGCACAACGTTCATTTCAAAATTTGAAAAACATAACTACTTCTAAAAACGAAAATAATAAAACATGAAAACTGTTTAGAATATCCAGTGTACTAAGAAACTAATAGCCTTTTGAGACTGAATTATATGTTGCGAAAATATTCATGCATTCATTTTGTGTTGTCTCTATATAGGGTGAACCAGCTACAGCTTCACAACAGCCAGTTCAGATGACAATTAATGCATCTTCACCTGCCGCTCTATCAGAATGGGATTTCGATGTGGATAATGTGCATTCGACGAAGAATTTAGTTAAGTCGGGGTATGTTCATATAGGTTTATCCATAATTTGAAAGGTTTCTTATCTCTTTTATCATCGATGCTCGAGGTGGCCTTGTCGAAGCTCAAAGACGACCTGGTTTACGATTTCTTGTACCACCTAATGCACCATCTGGACCACTACGTATAATTTGTCGTTTACTCCGCCCAGAAGCGATTGACAATCCACCAATTTTTAATGACGGTGATTGCTTAGCCTGTCGGTAAGTAATTTTACATTCTTTAACTACACAAGTGCGCGATAGTTTATCTTAAAAAAGAAAACGAGTATTTATTACTTTTCAGTTAGGTCTAAGATTCTGAAAATCTGTCTTTTTGTTATTGATAATCTGCTAAATGACTGGTAATCTTATAATTTAATAATTGAATTCATGAGTCAATAATAAATTACTACAATCTCCACAAAACCCCCGTCTTATTATAATCTTATAATTCTTCTGAACCATCAGCTAGAATCTCTGATTGAATAATATACTGAGGATATATTGAAAAGAATATTCTTTATTAACAGTCAGGTATTTCGATATGAAGAGTATGTCTAAACACTTATCCATTGAGTTAAAAATACTAGAATCATGTTTGTTTCCAAGTGTAGCTTACCAATTCTACTTTGAGTAGTTACTACAATTGTCAAGAACGACAACGAACGTTTCTTAACTAGAGCAATTAGCCCAGAGAATGCACTACTGCTAAAAGCATTCACATGACCTACAAATCTTCTCCACCATTTCCTGAAATACTATCATTCGTGTTCTTGTTTGACATCATAGTAAATTTTAAGAGCTGTTAGTTTTACATTTTCAAATCCAATCACATTCAGACAGGAATAATATATTTAACTCATAACAAAATCGACACACGTTATTAAATATAGTTACCGTTTTCGTATCTCATCAAATTTCCTTGGTAAGTTTGTTAATTGCAGATCATAAACGTTCAGTGTTTATAGTCTACAAATTGATGTAAATGCAGACACGAGCACTGTATAAAGTTTAAACTGTTTTAATTATGGTCTGAATTAATAATAGAGTCGAATGCAATGAAATCATAATCCCGGTTAGCTTGAAACCAAATAACCAAGCTCAGAGAACGAACCTGCATCCAAATCTAAAATAAGCTAGAAATTGTTAGCAAAAGCAATAATTAACTAAAAATACAATTGTAATAACGGTAAACGAAATTTACAGCTCATTTGTAATTAAACTAATGAATTGAATTTTCCTTTTAATGGTAATCTGAGGATCAACGCTTTGTTACTTAGTGTGTAACATTTTTTATAGGATTATTGAAATGAATCCAAGCCAGATGCGCTTCAGTTTACCTATACTTGTTGAGGTGCCTCATATAGCATCTATTAAAGGAAGAGAACGTGAAATTATAATTGTTAGAAGTGAAACGGGAAATTCATGGAAAGAACACACATTAGAAGCAAATGAGCAGGCGATAAGTGATTCGTTCGGTGATGCATTTGGTAAGCTTTTTGTTTTTCTTTGCTTGGTTGGTTTAATCTATATGTTCCTGTCTTACTGATTTAACTTGTATGCCAAGTGGAAGTCATTAACATAAGAAGATAGTCGTCATGTAATTACGTTACCTATTTTCTCCAGCGGGTTAAAAATTTAATGTGATTTTTTAAGGAAATAAACGTATAAAACTGAGATACCATAGCAACAATATTACTGTTAAGCCACTAAATCAAGTTCAGTTATCCAATTTCATCATGTACATTCAGCATTACTTCTCCCAAACACTTAATTTGAATAGCAAATAGAGGTTCACCAGTCGACAACTTTGAAGTAGTACATTTTTAGGAGATCTGAAGAGAAAATACTGTTCATAGTGCAAAGTTAGTCTTTACTGAAAACGTGTAGTCAATAGTATAGTGGAAGATAACTCGAATCTATGATAATCACGGTAAAGACTGGAGGGTATGATGAGTTTTCGGGAAGGCAGCTCTTTAAACTTTCTGTTTTTGTAATCTCATGGAATTTTGTGCCTTGAAAATCTTAAGTACAACAAGAATAAAAACTGTGACAATATGTTTATCGAGATAATCGATTTCTGAGATATTCATAAGTTATAACGAGTGTTCATGATTCAGTTTAAAAAAAGTCTGTACTTAAATAAAATAAGAATGTGTCAGTTACTGATAGCCAAAACGAAAACTTCTTCACTTTGTCTCAGCTGTTTTTAATTTATATTAACTATCAATGAAAACAACAACTAGTAATGAACTTTATAGGCTCTGGCTGAATGTTGTGTATTCAGAGGTAATTAAGTTTTCAAGGGTTTAAACTTGTATTTTGACGTACTGTTCTCTCCATTACCCTTAGACCAATCAAAATGTAGTTTCAAACATCCAATGGACAGACTACTTCTTTTTCAATAAATAATGATTTCCAACATTACCCCTGTTGCCTGAAATTATTGCCAGTTATATGATTCTTGACCTCCTATTGATGAAACTTCAGGGGTATGATTATCAATGTCTAGTAATAAGTGATTGGTTTACTTGTATTTCGAAATGTGTGCTAATGTATTCAGCAACATACTGTTTGTTGACTGTAGATGGCGCACTGTTGTAATCTGTTGAAATCCGTCTAGCACAAACTGTTTTGATTGGATATCGAAATTTGCACATTTTAACTTCTTTTAACTTATTAGGTTTCATTGTCATGAAATTGTAACTTAAGAAAAAAATGACATCAATTATATTGGGGTCGGCATATGATATTAGGATGGAAAGTATGGTCAATTTTCTTATTGATCACGCGTCCACCGAACTTAACTTTTTCAATGATGTAGATTAAAGTGATCACTTAACGTGACGAGGGAAAATTGCTAAAAATTACGTATATATAATTTCTTTGTCAGCGTTCAGACTATGCATGTCATTGAAAGTAAACAAGAAAATTTGATAACTAATTCTTGGTTATGATGATAAGCTTTTTATCAACAGACAGATTTCTAAAGAGGAGGAATGTATTTGTAAAATCTCAGAGAATGAATTTGAAGTAAATCCAACAATCGAAACAAATAGTATCGACAATTTTGATGTTTGATTATATTTCCTTGAAAAAGCTTGGATCAGATTGACAGGCGAAACGATGGATTAACTTTAAACTCATTCGCTGAGATTTTACAAATACATTCTTCCTCTTTAATGTCTCACATCAACTCGGCACCCATATACTGTGAAACTATTCGATCAAATTTAGACGAAAGTCCTTATTTAGACAGATTTCTAACTATCATAGCGATTATTATGCCTAAAATCTAATAAAATCTTGAATGGACAAGAAGAAAATTATTTCCCATTTAGTTATTTTATTGAATCATTTTAACATATCATTCAAGCTGGTAAAAACTCCCATAAGCATATGAACAAATCACTGCGGTAAGATAATGTAAACGGGATATGTAATTAATCTGAAACTATCTCCAGGCTACCTTTGGAAACAGTAATTTTTAAACAAAATAGAGATGTTTTGTATCGCTTAAAAAATGGCATCAATAATAGCCCAAAAATATTGTGTTCTTGAGTATCATAGTCTGTAATTAAATAAATAATCCATATCAGAAGGGTTTTGTGGATATTATAGTAATGTCAGTGATTGAGATCATGAGTCAATTGAAGCTAGACCAGCATGAAAAACGTGGAAGCACTGGACGGCCGTTTCGTCTTATTGTGAGACTCCAGGTTTTCCATAATTTTACAATGTTATCAACACTAGAATTATTTTCAAAAATAAATTGTCCATAAAGACTCTAATATAGAATAAAGTTTTTCTGTGATTGATTAGATATGACCAGAAACTATTAAACAAAAATAGTTATAAGATGGATGACAACTGGGCATTAAATGATGTTGTAATAGCTCGTGAAAAATAGGTCACAAAATTTTAGAAATTAATATTATTAAGTACAAAACTTAATTTATGCAAAGTATGAAACTAGTTGACGTAATTACTTACAATATACGGCTGTAATACTAACAACGCACCAATTGCACTCTCTTCAAAAACACAGAAACCATACATGATCTATAAAACTACAGTTATTTATTTCTTAAATGTGTGTTAGTACACAAACATAACAATAATGAAGATACACACATCCTGAAGGCTCCAAGGGACCTCTGCAAGTGATTATAAACGGTGGAATATTGTCGATTTTGCGTTCTATGTTAACTTAACATGGTAATATTGGATTTCTGTTCGATAGACTTAGTTATACTAAACAGTGTCTAATAAAGCTATGATGTATTTCCTGGTCATTCTATCTACCCAGTTGTATCCACAAAAACAATCAGACATAGAAGTCGTTTGAAAATTCCTGATCACTAAAATGAAGATAATCCACAATATCCTGATTTTCTAGATATTCATGTTTTTCAAGCTCTGTTTTTCCTCCATGGATCCGTGCTCTTAATCAGTCCTAAATTTAAGTATTTCAGTGTTTTGGTGGTGAATAACGTTACTTCAAAACTAATTTAGTTACAGTGAATATTTTCATCCAATGTTAGGCTGGTACCAGTATCCCTGAGAGCATTATTCAGTACAGTTACAAAGACAAACAATAAGACATTGCTAATTAAGGATGGTGATCTATTTCTGACATTATTCTTACTCTACAAGCAAATTTATTTTCATTTTGATTACGTTTTGTTTAAGATCTAGTAAATCTTTAATATATATATCATTCTTGATCTCTCTATATTTTGTTCGACACTCAGATCATTCTGACTTGAATACTTCAAGTCTTAACAAACGCATTCATCGAATTTTGACCTACGACCTTCCACAATATTTCGCGTTAATTTCGAGATTTCGTCAAGAGGTTGCTTTCATTGGTTCAGATGGTGGAATTATTAGCTCCACCGTAGCACCACAAGTCCAAGCTGTGTTTCCTCCAGGATCACTTCAAAAAAGAATTAAAGTTGGCTTGCAAGTATGTAATTTACCTAGTCTCATTCACTGTATTTGAATATCTGTAAATATTACTTAGTATAATAGGATTTTATGATATACACAATTGTCATAAAAGTTTTTAAGACATGGTACTTACATTTATGTTCTAGGCCCAAATTATTCCTAATGATGTCATCAACCGTTTAGCGGATGGTCGTGTTTCTGTATCTCCTGTCGTAAGCATTGAGCCAAGACGACGCAAATTTCATAAGCCCATCACACTTACGATACCGGTTCCACGTCATTCAGCCAAAACTACAACAAACAGCTCACCAAAAGTTCGACTTCTATGTAGTCTATCTGGTGGAATAAATCCAGCCATATGGGAAGATATAACTGGTTCAACACCTATGACACATCATAAAGATTGTGTTTCATTTACTACAACTGTTTCTGCTAGGTAAGTTCATTTTCTATTTCATCATAGAAATAAATAACAAGTGAACTGATATGAATTTACTAAAATTTTAGATAACCATTTCTTTTACTGTACTCTTGAATCCTTACATTTCCTGAGAGAAGGAAGATTTCATTTCATAGGTCGATAAAGCATAAGTGAGGCCTGAAATAAAATGAAATAATGGAATTTAGTTTTCTTTTTGAACCATGTATAAAACATGAATCCTGGAAAACTATCACATCCTTTTCATTAGGTAGGACCTAATGTTTACTCAAATTTATCAAGCATTTACAGAATATTAATTCAGAATGTTATACGGATTCATTAAATTAATTTTTAAATTCTAAAGATACAACTCAATTAGTGAATAATAAAAGCAATAGCACTTGGATGTTATTATGAAAGAAGTACTCTCGTGAACATTGCTATATAAATGAGTCATTATTCATAAACACGTTATTCATTTCAAAAAACCATATTCGAAATAATTGGAGGGAAAAGAAGAAAGATAAATTTATGCAGATATGATATGGTATTTAATGGTTGTCTGACTAAGATTAATCCATGATGTAAACTGCTTAAGTTGTAAAAATAACTAGAATGTAATATGGGAAATAATGTAGCGGGTAGAGTAGTTATTATAAAATGATGTCAAAATTGGTTACACCTCATGAAATGTGAAAATATAAAATTTCTGTAAAGTAATTTGGTATAAATAGATTTTTCATTTTTACTATTACAGTTAGCATCAACTGAAAGTATAAATCAAAATCGTTAAAGCTGATTGAGAGCACAATTCATAATTTGAAATGAGAAGTCATCACTATCAAACTACCCCCTTCTATGAGTAACGTAGGTCACAAACGTAAAACTAAAATTTTGGCCGTTTAACAGACTGATGGAAAACAGTAAAAAAAATGTACTGCTTGATGCAAATATGATAACCGTCTTCTCATTGGTAATAAAATAACAGCTGTAGACCTCAAAAGAAATCAGTAAATAACGTTTAACTTAAATGACAATGTTCATTCTACTTGAGTTATATATAATTGACTGTTCACTGAATAGTAATAATGTCATGTCCGCCTAGTCGTTTGGTGCTGATCATATTTTGTCGATCAAACTTCAGTGTCACAGCCAGTCTAAGTGATGCAACATCACTATGTCTTTAAGATGAATGTGGGTTTATCTGAAAAACGAGTTATAACAGGAAATATTTCTTTTAAACCTCTTTAAAGCTATAATAACATCACAGTACTCGAAAGGTTATAATTGTAACTTATTGTCCCCTTCATTTTCACGATGTTTGTTGTGCTTGCTATTAAAAAATCAAATTAGTATAAGAGATTTGTGATGGTAAAAATTTTGCAGTTTAACTCATATTTGCTGGACTAGAGAAAATGTAATCATTCTGCAGTAATTTCCATTTCACTTTGTTTTCCCTAATAATACAGTACATTGATGATCTCTTCAAAAACAAATACCATCTTTGTTTCTTAATATTTGTATACCTGCACCTCATTATATTTGAATATAGATTGTGGTTGATGGATTGCCCACCTGATATTCCGGTTACAGAGCTAGCAACTCGCATTTACGATGAAAGCATTGAACCACCGATTTTGGGGAGATTTGTTATTTATGCTCGTCAGTCGACCGATCTAGAAACAGAAGTTGAACTAAAAACGCCAGATAAACTACAAAGACAACTTCCTCATGCTCAAGATATGAAGAGAAGTATTTCACGCACCAAAACGTTTACAACCGAATTCGCTCAAATTAGGTGCATTTGCCTGACAGACGGCAACAATGACAAAACTCTGGAGTGTTTAGAACATTATTGTCAAGTTGCGATCGGTCCATTTGTAGAGGTAAATAAATAACTTGATGCTAAAATTCCTCTGTTGTTCTTATAAGAATATATATTTGGCAAACATGTATATGCTTATTTGAAAATACCTATTTATATGAATAACAACAGTCTTCAGGAAACCGAATATATGAGTCCCGTTTTTTGTTCATCGATTTCATAGGGTCACTTCTACAACGAAGAGTACAACCGTTTAAGTCAAGCTCCTTGATCAACACTTACCCGGTAGTTAATGACCTTAATTCATGCCCATCTATTGTTGATCCTGAAATAAATAACGTTTGTTACTTAACATATACATTTCATTTATTATCTCAGTAATTATACCCTCCGAAATTGAAGCGCTTCAAATTTCCGTTTTCATAAATACTAATTCTAATATTTGAACTTATTCCGTTATCATCAAAATACATCATTTACCATCAGAAAGTAATTTAAAATCTCTACTGTTCAGTGCCCTTTGATTCATGTATACTGCACAGCCGTTAATTTGTTGGCGTTTACTATTTCTGTAACATTAAATAAGAAACATACTTTTGTGATATCCTAAAGTGTAGAAAATTGTATTTCTTAAGTTTTGTGACTTAATTTAAGTCACTTTTTCAGAGTAATTAAATAACCTAAATAAAATTTACACAAGTTTGAATAGTACAAAAGAAACAATTCGATCGTACTGTAAACATCGAATGCCTGAATCATCTATACAACAGTTTAAACTAAGCATTCTTCCTTATTTGAATTGTTAAACAGAAAGTGCTCAGGCTAGCAAATGAAAGCTATGCATGCTATTTCCAAAACTGCTCGCTTGATAGCTAGAATATCAAAGCGATGTATCGAAAATTATTTTCCAAAGTATTTACAGAACTATTCTCAATATGTTTTCAAGATTAGACAATGACTTGTTTTAAAATTGACTTATTTTCCAAATTACCGTATTCAGCCTGTTTACGCATTCCTCAAAACTACCAAAAAAGGCAACTATTTCTTTTGGTTGCATAAAGCAAATCAATTCACTGTGTGTAAACTTCCTTAACCAATAAATGTAAACTTATTGTGAATACTCATATGAAATAGTTCTCCTTGGAAAAGATGCTGACAAAATGCTGAGTTTTGTAAACACCCTAAATAACAATTCAAGCACGTTTGGGATATCGTTTGTTCCCTCCAAATACAAAAGACTGCCTAAGCATTGGCTCGCATCAGCGCCTGAATTGACGGTAGGAAGTGAAGTAGTTGGACACATAGATTGCTTTAATTATCTTGGGAGCCTCGTCAGTCCTTAAAATCTGGTATCTGACGAAATTAATGCACCAATTCAGAACGCTCGACTGGCTTTTGCCAGCTTGTGTCGCTGGTGGCGTAGGCGAGATATCCGTCTGCCAACCAAATAACGAATTTACTGTGCAGTAGTTTGCTCTGTTCTACTTTAAGGATGTGAAACATTGCCATTAAGAATGGAGTATACTCGTAGATTACTAGTATTCGATCACAGGTGTTTCCGAAGCATTTCTCGTGTGTAGTGAGACCGCTGAGTAACCATTGCATAGGAATATGGTACTAGGTAAGTGTGGGAAACTGATTGATGAGGTAGTAAATCTCCATCAGCTGAGGTGGTTGAGAAAAATGTTACGTATGCCCAACCACCGCCTACCTTGACTTTCCATGTTCACTGCTGTACATGTAGACTGGAATAAATTTAGAAGCGGCCAAACCAAGACGTGGTATCAGTCCATAAAGCCATCAGCAATAGAACTTAGACATGTTAAAGGGTACGGACTACTTGGTTGTGGTCCGTTGTGATTGTCGTAGCCAATGGTTAGAGACTTTAAGTCAAACTGCTCAAAATAATTTGAAATGGCACAGGTACATCCATTCTTTGTCTTCCCTCAAATCCTGGGTTTATGAATCCTCCATAACAGTTTTCATTTTTGTCTCACTAATTTATACCTTTCTGAATCGCATGTTCGATGACTAATTTTTTCCATTATCACTCACGCTGTTACTACCTCTATTATTCTGGGATTTGGCCTGACAATTTCGTCTCTCTGTGTTGATGGAGTATAGCAACCCGAACCGATATACATACTTACCAGGTTCTAAGTTGTAACTAACTGACTGACTAGCGTGAATATTCTATTCAGGTATTTTTAACTATACTTGTTTTGATCATAAACAATACAAAATAAAAGGCCAAACTGGACAATCAAATGTGTAGTAAAAAAGTTTATCTTTCCTAATTATCGCACAACCTAAGGATAGCAAACACAAGAAAAAAGGAAGGATACAAATGTTTAAAATCATTAGATGTGCACTATTCTTGACAAATGCTTTATATAGGTGCACTCAAACCAACAGGATCCACATCACGTCATAACAGAAAAGATCTGTAACTAACAGCTTTTATTTTAAGGGTTACAGTTGTTTGACTAGAGTCGGGCAAACAGTTAATGACTTTATAGTGTTTCTTCATCTTATTATTTTAATTATTCTGATGCCCTAAACTCTTTTAAACTCAACTTGAACCTTTAAATAACAAATATATGTTATGTTAATCCGTTAATTTAGCACATGATATGATTGACAATCAGCCTAGCGTCTTTGATGGTCCTTTTCCCTACCCAGCCTTGCCTGTTGAGTCCAGAACACCACTATATGAATCATTTATTTCAGACATGCTTTGTTTGTATACAAGCAAATGAGACCACATCATACCATAAAATAAAAAAAATAACATTTGTACAAGATCAAGCCAAAAAGTAGCTGTGAATATGAGAGACTGTAATTAATAGACTGAGTATAACTTAAGAATAGTAAATCGTATAATGATAGTTTATATGTCAAAATAAAGCTTATAATAAGTGGAATATAAATATACATAATCTAGTTATTCATGAGTTATACAATAGGAATATATATAATATTAGTCCATTAATAGCTCTCAGAAGTTACCCATAATTTCATCTTCGCTAGGATATAACACAATCAGTGATGGTCCACATTACCACTAACTTTTATCCATGGTTTAAAAAAATATCCAGTACGAAAGGCGACATTTTGTGACCCCGTTATCCATGAGCCCCTCAAGGTAATAAGTGATCAAATAACCCTACGTGTGAGGTCGTCGATGGGCACTGAGGTGTTCTATACTAAGACGAAACGTCTGTCCAGTGCTTCCAGGTTTCAGTTGTGGTTTAACATTGATCGGTTCATGATTTCAATGAAAATCTACAATGTCTACACCTCCATACTGAAAAAAGATATCGTCAGCTTTGAGCTTTTTAATTCTAATTTATTTTTTTCATTTGGTACTACACATGGGTTCCTTCTGGCATATCAAAAACTGTCCTGTCACACTAACATTTCTTTGTAACCCTATCGAAATATTAAGAAATTATTTACAATAATGCTTTGCCTTTTATTTTAGATTCAACAAAATAAGCCTATCTGGATTGAAATGGTTGGAAATCTGGTACCAGTGTTAAGATCTGATGAACAGTTGAACTTTGCCATTCGACCATTCCATGATAACAGAATTACATTCCCAGTTCGATTGCGAGACGTACTGGATCATGAACCAGATTCAAGTACAGTTACTGGAAAAATTGCATTTGTACGTGAACCACGCAAAGCTCAAACAACTTTGGATATGACTAGCGCACAACAGCAACGTCTAATCACTCTATTAGAATTCAAGCTACCAATTCCAGATAAAACTATTGTGATAGCTACAAGAGGTAATGTTGAAAAGATTAATAAAAGTCAAATTATAGTGCTCTGTTTGCGTACAACGTCTACTGACATTTTACTATTATCACGTTTGAAGGATATTTTAAGTGTGAATAGTGACAAACACAGTAACCTGTATGTTTCATGGCACCACTGTTTAAGAGCTTTGGAGAGAAGCAGAAAAGACATTACTTTCCCAGTATTTTTACGTTCCTTCAGCTGGATAATTTAGTTAGGAAACCTCCATTATTTCAGACAACAGTGACAGTTTCTAACAGAACTAGGATGTTAAATTCATAGCTTCACTTACATCGCTGGGTCGAAAAATTGAAAGCTTGTAGAGGTATTCTGTTAGAATATAAGATTTAGCTGGAGAAAAATTACTTAATTTTATATTAATACATTTGAAAAACCTAAATACATGTTTGAATTCATAATTTAAAATAAACGTTAGAATCACTAATTTCTAATCATTAGGATATCACATACACATCATTATTGTATTACTAAATATGTATTATTTAGCCAACTGTATTTTTTACAATTAATACTCTTTGAAAGACTTAGAAAAACGAATGGTTTTTTCAATTTAGTGAAAACGGAACCCAACAGGTTTGCAGCAGACAAGTCGAATTTAACTGACCCATTACAAAATAGGTGAAAGCAAAGTGTAGATATTTTCATAACAAACAATATACATTGTAGCAATCTTCAAAACATACTAAATCAAAAAGTATTGTTGTCTTGAAAAACAAGTATAAATAATGTAGAACCAGATATTATCAGACGGTCTGAGCTTGATTGTCCACCAGGCACTTGAAATCGGCGGAGATTGTAAACGATTAGCGCTTCATCTTGGTTTCTCTGAACAGGATATTAAGACGATAGATAGAATTCCACTGAACGGTATAGCATCTAGTCGACTTGGGAATAAAAATCAGTGAGTGGAAAATATGATTACTTTATGGTAACACAGAGCAACGTTATGAGGTTTGACAAAGATGCTTTAGATAAGTGATCTATGGAATCGTTCTGTGGACTAAATGATCCTATAAAAGCGCAACATAGACCAGAGAAATAGACCACGACTAGCTAGATTCTAACCTAGCAGATAAGTTCAAAAACTAGCCTATCACTTCTCATCAAACAAAGAGTATTTTTTTCAATAAATTTTATTCAAGTTACATAGTTATACATATATCCAAATCAATCAAACAAAAAATTACCGAGTTTAAGGCAAATACATCTTTTGAAACTATGAAATGTGAATTTAGGATCGTTCGGAAAAGAAAATAAACTGATTAAGTCTGAAATGACTAGCATGCATTGTTAACTAGAATCAGTATATGAGTCAGTTGGATTTGTGAGATTATTAGTTAGAATAAATATGGATAACAAGAAGTGAGAGAAATAATAATGTGGGTATAAATTGCATCAGATGTTTAATGGAAGATAACTTAGTGCAGGAAATGGTAGGAATTAAGTAGGAAACAATAAAATGGGGTTAATCCTAACTAGTTTCTTCATGTGCTTACAAGACTAATAATAATGGTGGACATAATAATAATAATAATAATAATAATAATAATAATAATAATAATAATAATAATAATAATAATAATAATAATAATAATAATAATGATAATAACGCAAGGTCATGTGAAATAATAATAATAATACTGGTAGTAATAATAACAATTACTTACTTACTTACGCCTGTTACTCCTCGTGAAGGAGCATAGGCCGCTCACCAGCATTCTCCATCCAACCCTGTCCTGGGCAATCCTTTCTAGCTCCGTCCAGTTGTAATTCATCGCTTTCATATCTGCTTCTATTATCCGACTCATTGTGTTCTTTGGCCTTCCTCTTTTCCGCTTCCCTTCAGGATTCCAAGTTAGGGCTTGCCTCGTGATGCAGTTTGACGATTTGCGTAATGTATGTCCTATCCATTTCCATCGTCTTTTCCTAATTTCTTCTTCAGCTGGAAGTTGGTTTGTTCTCTCCCACAGAAGGCTATTGCTGATGGTATCCGGCCAATGGATGTTGAGTATCTTGCGAAGACAGCTATTTATAAATACTTTTACTTTCTTGATTGTGGTTGTTGTAGTTCTCCAAGTTTCAGCTCCATACAGTAGAACTGTCTTGACGTTCGTATTGAAGATTCTCACTTTGATATTGGTTGAAAGTTGTTTTGAGTTCCATATGTTCTTTAATTGTAGGAATGCGACCCTTGCTTTGCCGATCCTCGCCTTTACGTCTGCATCGGATCCTCCTTGTTCATCGATGATGCTTCCCAGGTATGTGAAGGACTCTACATCTTCCAGAGTTTCGCCATCAAGTGTGATTGGATTGCTGTTCTCCGCTTTGAATTTGAGGACCTTAGTTTTCCCTTTGTGTATGCTGAGGCCTACTGATTCAGAGACTGCTGCTACACTGGCTGTCTTTATCTACATCTGTTCGTGTGTACATGATATGAGAGCTAGGTCATCTGCGAAGTCCAAATCGTCTAATTGGTTCTGAGCTGTCCATTGTATTCCGTGTTTTCCTTCAGATGTTGAGGTCTTCATAATCCAGTCGACCACCAGAAGAAAGAGGAAGGGAGAGAGTAAACAGCCTTGTCTGACTCCGGTCCTTACTTGGAATGCATCTGTCAGCTGTCCTCCATGCACTACTTTGCACTGTAGTCCGTCGTATGAGTTCCGGATAATATTGACAATCTTCTCAGGAACTCCGTAGTGTCGAAGCAGTTTCCATAACGTCCTCCTATCTACACTGTCGAATGCCTTTTCATAATCAATGAAGTTGATGTATAATGATGAGTTCCACTCAACTGATTGTTCGACGATGATCCGTAGTGTTGCAATTTGGTCTGTGCACGACCGATCCTTACGGAATCCAGCTTGTTGATCTCGAAGTTGGGCGTCTACTGCATCCTTCATCCGGTTCAGCAACACTCTGTTGAAGACTTTCCCTGGTATTGACAGTAGTGTAATGCCTCTGTAGTTTTCACATTTGCTCAGATGTCCTTTCTTTGGAATCTTGACGAGCTTTCAGTAGATCTTGTAAGGCTTGGAACCTGTTGTTGAGAGCTATCTTGAATTCATTGAGTTTGTCAGTATCTCGAAGGAAGGCTGTATTGAACCTTTGTATTGCTGTTTGTCCACTTGTCCAGTTCTTTTTTAGCTTCAGTTTCAAATTGGCTACAACTAGGTGGTGATCTGAAGCTACGTCAGCACCTCGCCTGGTTCTCACATCTTCCATTGTCCTTCGGAATTTTTTGTTGATGCAAATATGATCTATTTGGTTCTCTGAAGTGTGGTCCGGTGAGATCCACGTAGCCTTGTGTATACGCTTGTGTGGAAATATTGTGCCTCCTATGACCAATTTGTTGAATGCACATAGATTTGCAAATCTTTCTCCATTTTCGTTTCTTCCTCCCAGTCCATGTCGTCCCATAATATCTTCATATCCAGTGTTGTCTATTTCGACTTTGGCATTTAAATCTCCCATTAGAATGGTGAGGTACTTTCTTGGGCATTTCTCAATGATTGACTGCAGCCGCTCGTAGAACTGATCTTTAATTTCGTCGTTGCTATCATTGGTGGGTGCATCACATTGGATAATATTCATTGTGATCCCCTCCTTCTTTGTTTTGAATGATGCTTTGATGATTCTGGATCCGTGAGATTCCCATCCTACAAGTGCATTTCGTGCTACTTTGGACAGCATAAGAGCGACTCCCTGAGTGTGTGGAGCATTGTCCTCTTCGTGACCGGAGTATAGCAGCATCTCTCCCGTAGCTAGACTTTTCTGTCCAGCTTGGGTCCAGTGGGTTTCGCTGATTCCCAGTACTGCTAAGTTGTATCTCCTCATTTCCATTGATATTTGACTGGTCTTCCCGGTTTCCCACATTGTTCGAACGTTCCATGTACCTATAAAAATTTTTGCTTACCAGAAAAAAATAATAACAATTACAGTAACAATATTCGAATAACAGGAATTTGAAATATGAAAATACAAAAGGGGAAGACCGAATGTATATTGGTGAAACTGATACGACCACTGGCCTATTGGGCCTGAGATGAGCCAGGGTAAAAGAAGAGACTAAATAAATTTGTTTTGTACAGGAAGCTTCGGTCTTTCAATCTGAATAACTAGTGCTTCCACCATCTTAATAACTTTGTTTGACGTTTTTGGCATACAATTGCCAATGCGATAAACTGCCAAAATGATTGATTTATGTTGATATTATGACCCATTTAAACCAAATGAGACATTACTGAGCTATTCATTGTATTGATTACGCTTGTGCTTAGCCAGTGTGGAAAGTGTTTACGATCCCGAAACTGTAAGTTCCTAGAAATCCAACCAACGTAACTTGTTCCACATGCTTAACTGAACTGAAAACGAAGGTGACTAATCAAGATAATTAGTCTTTTACTCTCGGAGTCACCATTGTACATTATTCGTAGCTTTCCTGCATCGAACGTCCTTTGAACTGTTGTGATAAGTCTCCCCAACATTATTTCACTGTGTGCAACGCCTCTGAATTTGAAGCACATAGATAACTCCTATAGTTTGGGTATTTATCACTTCTGTGATCATATATTTGTTCATGCACATTCCATCATATCCACTTCCTCTAAAAATATTGCACAAGGCCTTCAGCTCCTCTTCAGCTTCATCAGTTGAGCATATGGTCATTGAGTTTCTTTTGCACTTCAGTAGTAGGAAGTTAGGGAAACGTGTACATTGTTGTGTCCAATTACTTTTATCACTTAGATCTATCAGCTCTTTTTGTCAGTAGGATATCCAAAATGCTATTCTGGCTTCACTTGCCTCTCCGTTTGTAAGCTTAGTTGAAGGACGCACTTATTAGATTGCCTTGAAACCTCTAGTTGTTCTATAATGTCTTTATAAAGGATGAACGTATCTTTCATATATCAACAATAAAATCTGAAAAACATGTCTTGTGTTAAGATGATAGTCGTGTGTGGTACGTATACCTAATGAGAGCAAAATTCATTAACTATGTATTGCCTCCACTGAGGGGTTTTTGATAAAATCAGATGATTTGATTAATGACATGAATCGAACATGTTGCATCATTTATAAAATAAATATAAGTAAACAAATAGATGTGTTGCATTATTGTGTTGACCAAGCTGATTGTTCATCGTATATTTAGACAAACCAGCTACTTACAACAAGTAAAAGTGATTATTGTTGTTCACATAATAAGAAATGGATTGAACAAAATGCAATAAGAAGTTAAGGCTTACTTATTAATTATTAGTTGCCATGGGAAGGCTAATCGTACTCCATCTCCCTTATTAATATTGTTTGTGTAGGGCTTTAGCTGTTAATCTCTCTTTTTCTGAACTAAAACCTTTTCGGTAGATTCTTGTGCCATTGAAATCGCTTGTATGACTAGGCTCTATTGAATCTAATTCTATCATTGACTTGTTTTCTAGTTTTTGTTCGGGTATGACATTACGGCAGCTGAATGTCAGGGTAAAGGCACACAAATTTGCTTGAAGCACATTCCTAAATCGGATTTCAGAAAACGATCTTAATTTTCAGCCGAGAATTTAGGAAGCAGCACAAACTGTTGGTGACTTAATGATTAAATTTGCAGATAATTTCATACATGACTTCTAGTGCCATTAAATCATAAAAAGTAGCCTGTTGTATAAGGTAAATAGGAATGATAGTACTTGAGTGCCAAGAGTCTTGAACTGGTTTCTTTTTTTGGTATAAAATGTTAGTCACCTAGAATAGTGATGGTTTTTTACCATTCTGATCGTTCAAAGTAAGAGCTCAGTGAAATCATGTTCTTAGTGATGTACTGGACAAGACACCTTTGTGGTGTACAAGTGCACAAATTTACATGTTTAGTCTCTAGAATTTCATCTTCTAAAAACTGTATTTTGCTTATCGGGACGTCTGAACAAAAGACATGGAAGCTATAAGTTGAAGTTTAGAAAACTGGAGACTTGTTTGTCTAAAAATTCCTTTATTTATGGATCAGAAATCCTGTTATGAGATTCTAAAGTTAATAATAAATTTAGAAACGTCACGTACGCTGAATTTTATTACTTTTTATTTGAAGATCCCTGACATATCTGCGTTCTCAGTGGTTAGCGAGTAGCTAGAAATTTCCACAGCTATAATTCATAAACAACTGTGAAGCTTTGTATTTCATTTCAGCCGAACGAACTCTTGTCTATTGATTCCGTTAGTGTTCATTATGTTGGTAGTTTTTTCAGGTACACATAATTCGGTACTTAATATTACTAGTTACTACAAAAACGTCAAAATAATGAAACATGATTGGTAACGTAAAATGCAGACAGCCCAGGGCTTCTGGCAGATAATTTGTCGTTGACCAGAGAAACCTCATTACTGTATTTTATTTCTTATAACTGCTCAAGTTGTATCACGTTATGGTGTATGAAACTAAGAAATGGTCAGCCATTAGGTCTTTTAGCTTGATCAATTGATCAACGAGTTTGGTAACTGACATTATAGTTACCTTGATTCTATATCATCTTCAGTTACCACGTTTCTAACAAAATAAAGTGCTTTAAGCCAGTCATCTTATTTGCTCAAAACAATGATTATTCAGATTCACATATTATCAATTTCAGCCACGTTTTTATGCGTATTGGAAAACCTCTCTTGTCACCTTCACATAAATGTTGGCGACAACACTTAGCAACTGGAACGATATTGAAACATAATTAGCATTTGCCTTATGAAGTCAGTTCTTAGAAAATTATTATATCTAAAATCACCTTTTTGGGATTGATTTCAAGATGTTGGCTTAATTTCATTTTCGCTCATCAACACGGTTAATTTCTGCTTTGAGGAATAAATTTAGTTTATTATTATTACATCTTTATTTTTTTATTTTTGTCATTATCATACACCTAGATAATCGTCTGGCTGACGCGCTCACTAAAATAAATCACTTTGACGCTATTCCTCCAGTCATGACTGACTTACACCCAGTAACGATGAAAGAAGAAAGAATAACTGAAACTGACGTCCTCGAGGGACGACCTATCCTGCCATTGGTTGCTAAAGAAATTTTACCACAAGTAACATTAAATGAAGTACTGACATATCCGAGACGTGAAGCAATAAATAGTTCTTTAGGTTAGATGCTTTTTGAAATTTTTTGAAAGACCATTGTTATTACTGTTAATTTCATAGTTCTAGGTCTTATAATAAAGCGTTCGAAGCTGCATTCCATCATTAATACAGTAATACGTAAAACGAAGACTCAATTCGGAAAAAATATTTGAATGTTACTAGAACTGTGACACTGTTACCTACGTCTGAATTAACTTTATTGCAACTATTTGATACTAGTTACAAACCAATTCATTGACGTGCTGGCTAAAATTACCCTCAAAGTAACCGAAAAGAAAATAATGACTTATTTGGCTTTAGAATGATTATTTTCACTAGAAAAAAATCACATACAATCTGATTCTAAATATTACTGTAGTGTTTTTACAAAGTACCCAACGAAAAAAAATCGTTCTCTTTTTTATCAATATTAATATTTAATAACTAAGCAAGTTATAAAGTATAACGAAAAATGACAAATGTGTGTAGATTAAAGTAAAAATGTTGACACTGTTGCTTGACTACTTGCTGTTTGCACGGACTTTCATTTTTTTAAAGAAAGAATTAGTTAATATAGCCTCATGTATTTTATGGCAAAATCATCTTATATTTCTTGTAACGTTGTCGTTGGTAATAGGATAATTTTATTTTTTCTTAATCAGTATAATTAGGTTCAATAGGTTTGTAAAGATTTCATAATTCATAGTCGGCTTGTATGTGTTTGGTTTGAATTATAAGTAAGGGATTTTGTGATTTTAGAAATTTCAATAGTCGACTGAAGCTAGACCACCATGGGAAACACGGAAGCAATTTCGTGGATTGGTTGAAGTTAAACATTAACACCGTTGGACGCCGGCCCAGTTGTCTAATGGTCATGCGCTCACCTGCGAGACTGGTAAGTCATGGGTTCGAATCTTGCGGGGTGCGGGATCGTGGATGAGCACTACTGAGGAGCCCCATACTAGGACGAAACGACCGTCCAGTGCTTCCAGGTTTTCCATGATGGTCTAGCTTCAATTGACTCATGATTTCAACTAGTTAAATTATAAGTGATTATATGAATATGCCTTTACGTACCACAATGCCCTCATTTATAGTAAGGCTTACCTATCTCTTTTCAGTATGGCCAAATTAGTTAAAAATTAGCTTTAAACATGCAGGACGATATCAGACTTTCAGAGGTGCAGTAATAAAATTATACAAAATGGAATAATTTTAAATGCCGGATTACTGAGATATTCGCTGTTTTCCTTGTTATATGACAGCAATGTTTTATGTAGCTCATTAAGTGAATGTGTTCTCATTTGTTTTGTTATTCCTCAGAGAAATTCATAACTGCATTCAAATTTTGTCACAACATTTACACTTTACATATTCTTCTTGTTCTCTTTTCACACTTTTTGTCTTGAGAAATTCCTATCCTCGTGTAGGTGTAAAGTGTAGAAATTTGAACAAATTGTTTTTTGGGCGAAATTCTCAATTTTTTCGTTAATGACCATTCGACATTTGGGTTAACTTTGGTTAAGCTAATGAATTTAAATAGTTACTAGTCAAAGATTACTTACTTATTTACGCCTGTTACACTTCATGGAGGGGCATAGGCCACTCATCAGCATTCTCCATCCAACTCTGTTCTGGCCCAACCTTTCCAGTTGTTCCCAGTTGCTATTGATCCTTCCCATGTTTGCTTCCAATTCCCGACAGAGTGTGTTCTTCAGCCTTCCTATTTTCCGTCCCCCTTCACGATTCCACATTAACGCTTGTCTCGTGATGCAGTTTGATGATTTCCACAATGTATATCCTGTCCACATCCAACGTCTTTCCCTTATCTCCTCTTTAGCTGGAAGTGGGTTTGTTCTCCCCCATAGTAGGCTGTTGCTGATAGTATCCGGCCAACAAACATTTAATATCTTAAGTAGACAATTGTTTATAAATGCTTGCACCCTTTAGGTGATGGTTGTGGTAGTTCTCCCATTTTCAGCTCCGTACAGTAGAACTGTCTTGTCGTTCGTATTGAGGATTGTGACTTTGATGTTGGTTTACAGTTGTTTTGAGTTCTATATGTTCTTGAACTCTAAGGATGCGGCCCCTGCTTTGCTAATCTGTGCCTTTACGTCTGCATCAGATCCTCCTCGTTCATAGATGATGCCTCCCGGATAGATAAGTGAATGTTTCTACCACTTCGAGAGTTTCTCCATCAAGTGTGATTGGGTTTGTGTTCTCCGTGTTGTATTTGAGGACCTTGTTTTTCCTCTTGTGTATAATGAAGCCTACTGATGCAGAAGCATCTGCTACACTGGCTGTCGTCGCCTGCATTTGTTACTGTGTATGGAATAAAAGATCCAGGTCATCTGCAAAGTTCAAATCGTCTAGTTGCATAAAACCTTTCCGTTATATTCTGTGCTTCCCCTCAAATATCAAGGTCTTCATAATCCAATCAACTACCAAGAGAAAGAGAAAGGGTGAGATTAGGCAGCTTTGTTAAAGATGGATATGTATAATTAACTCTATTTTTTATTGACTCACAGAATTGAACTAATCGTCCTGAATTCCTCAACTATTAAACACACCATGTCCACTTCGTTAGCTGTGTTTATACCATTAGCTTTGTTTAGTACGTTTTTAATAGGAAAATCGTAGAATATAATCAGGAACCATCGCTTTTATTTCAATAAGTAAACTACTAAATAATGCAGTGATGATCTAATTGATCAGCTTGAAAACCAATCTAAGAAACATCAGTTTGTCTGTGAACTATCGCCATACATCAAATCGGCTTAAATGTCAATGGTAGGTACAACTGAATATGAAAACTTGGAGTAAATAAGCTCACAAGTTCTGAATTAGTTATAGGTGCTCAAAAGTATAAAATATCAAAGTTAACTATAAATACTCGAATAAATTATAAGGCGTAACAAATTTTTTTTAAAAGCTTTTGGTAAACGGATAGCAAGGAAACGAATCTAAAAAGTATGATTGCATAGTTGTTTAAAATAATAGTACTTCGAACATGACACAGAAGATCACTTGCGAGGTCATCAATATTATTTTAAGTACCTACTTGTTAGTCAAACAAGTAATTTCATCACGTACTGTAGTGCAACATACATTCTTTTAAAAACTCAACTTATCAGACCTTTTTGATTTGTATTTTATTTTAAAATGGCAGTTGGTTACATAATTTAGACTATCTAGCATACAAACTGTGATTTACTCTCTCTATTATTCCCTCTACATATTTTCAGTGCACAGATAGGATTCCAAACTTTATTCATATAAGATGAGTACCTTTCGCCTATTTTTAATCATTGAAAAACAAACATTCGAAAGTTAGCAGATATTTAAAATTTTGTTTGGTAATTGTATAACACTTCTTTTTCAAACAGACATGAAATATCAGAAAATGGAAGAAAAGAGAAAACAAGAAACAGATACAGTGTTTTCTTGGTCTGAAAATGCATTTCTTTCGTCAGATGAAGGTGTTTCGACCATTTCGGCTTCTGGTGAAACAGATGATCTTCGTAAACCAGAAGGTAAAACCAAATTTCATGCAAATTATTTCCACTTCATGAAATACTTAGTTTCACAATATAGCATGATGTGGTATACATGCTAAGGGTTGAATACTATGCTAAAAATTACTCAAATGTGTCAGAAATTCATCTTAGGAAGAACAGAATGTGTGTTTCATTGGTCAGGCAATACACAGGTTAAAACACTAAATTTGACTTTAATCGGGCACCGTTTAAATTAATTTATTTTCCGTTCAAGTGGTGTTTTTAAGAGGAGATTTCTTTTGAAACAGCTTTGATCGTTTACTTAGTTAAGGTGATAAACTAAAAAGTAATACCCGTTAAAATCATTAGTCAAAAATCTCTAAACTCACTTCCTACTCGGAACGCAGACTGAATGGTTAAAATACGCATTCAACACAAATGCATTGATGAACTTATAGCAGCTGAAATGATTACAAATGTTGATGTAAATTACTAAATTTTCACTACCATTACTAGTGAATGCTTATGTCTTGTCACCACGTAGATTCTTTATTTTATATATAAACTCAACTAAACACATGCCCCGTAACATATAAGACTAAGAACCTTTTAACATCCATAGAAATAAAAGTTTGATCAGTGAAAAATAAACCCCAAAATATTGATGCACGACAAACCAATAATAAGTAAAATACGAATAAAAACTAATTTATAATGCTTTGAAAGTATTTTGGGGGAATTTTTGACAAACTTTGTTACTAGACTTATTGAACGTGTCTCTACTTTAAGAAAAGTAACACTAGAGTATACAAAAAACTCATTTTTCAAAGAAAACTCAACATTGATTAAAGTAAAATTTGGTTTCAGGGTTAATAGATCTCTCCTTACTTCTTAAACTTTCAAATCTTCGGATCCTAGTAGTGAGGTGGTTTTTACTGAGTTTAATAAATACACCGGCAGGTAGTCTAATGGCCTTAAATGTTTGTATTATCAAATTAGTTAAAATAGTATATTTTAAGTCATTAGGATCCTCAAGGATTGTTTTATAGCAGTCTAACAGTACTTTGTGTAAAATATATTACTATGTTTTACACTTATTTCATCTTCTACCAAAACATTTTATCAAAAGTCGTTTAATAGCTCCACATGTACAAAGGATGATTGTTAAACGTGAACATTACTGACACAATCCACCCATCAGAACTTTATTGTTGCACTGCTCTCTTTTTCTAGTAAAAGATTTCAAATTTTACAAACTTTGACTGTGGAATAAAATAACTCATTCTATTCGTGTATTTTATTTGTATTTCGATGAATTAGCAGCAGTTTTACAGTCTGTTTCACAGGCTGATGTTACAGACCAAGAAAAACTTCCTGTTGATGTTCATACTGTTCCAACCATGTTTACTTCAGTTGAAAATGCATCAGATCAGATATTAGCGTTAAGTCACTAGGACGACGTCACTGAAGAAAAACCACATGTTCACTGGCAAGAAGCTTTGCTAACACATTTGGAATCAGTTGGCGTTCGTTTAGATTTCCAACAAAGTTCAGTCAATTAGCAGACAAGCAAATCGAAGAACCAGATAGTCAAATAACAGAAGTTTTCATGAAACCAATATCTCAATATGTTGAACATAAATCTACTTCAACTGACAGAAACAGATAAAATATGTCGTACAAGAATTATTAGATGCCATTGGACCACAATTTCGTCGACACTGCTTTAGGTAAGCAAAACTATTATAATAGCGTTTTATTATTCTTATTAAAAGTATGCCAGTATGATTCATAATTCTTCCCTACTAGGCAAAGGAGCTTTTTTCTCCATTAATCTGTATACTAATCTGATTTGGGTTGAAATTCTTATCAAAACTCTTATGGAACAGTCAGACAGAATTATTTATCAGAAAGGGTTTTGTGGAGATTGCAGTGATTTAAACAGTTGAAATCATGAGTCAATTGAAGCTAGACCACCATGGAAAACCTGGAAGCACTAGACGGCTGTTTCGTCCTAGTATGGGACTGTGCACTGCCGATGAGTCCCATACTAGAATTAGCTATGCAAAATACAATTCAAATTTGAAAATGCAAACTCTCACATCCAGAAATCACAATAATTGTGATTCCGCACCTCTATTGATAAAAATCTTTGTGGGCTTACAAGTTTCGTACAGAGCAGGGTAGTGGAAAACGAAATTCATTAATTTCTACTTTTTATTTTTTCAAAAGTAGCTCATTTGATTGGTTCGATTTAACTTCCTAATTTGTGGTCCAGGCTAATTATGCATTCACTATTTCACTCATACCTACCTCTTTATAGCATTTTGATTGGTTCTGTTCTATAGGTAATACCTCATTTTCATTAGATGATTCTAATCATAGGTCTATAAACAATTATTTCAGTCGGTTTATCAATTCGGAAAAATCAATTCTCGAAGTAACCGACTTTGATTAATAATAAATTAAGACAATGAATGGTATTTAACTTTATTTTAGTAGGGTAACTGTTTAATAATGAAAATTATCAACGATATATAAAGTTTAAAACAAGTTAATGCCGATGGCTTGTCCAGATATGTTCAACAAATAATAAATTCTGTGTATAGTAAGAATCAAAGTCATTTGATGTGGAATCCTGAAATAGTAATTCGAAAGTGTAAAATGTGTATATCGGTATATTACTGAAGTTAGGAATTTAACGAATAAATTAGATGCCGATATAATAATCGTTTTGCTTATTATCAGAATAATAGTACATATGATGAAATTGATCATATAGACACATGCAGCGATAGTAAATAGTAGGATATTGTGTTTTAATGTCACTTAAAATGAATTGGAGCTATGTACATTGTTAACGTGTTCAAAGAGTTTGGGTAGTCCGTCTCCTTTCAAAGTATTTCTCTATACAAAATTAATAATTGAATGTGTTTTAACAAGCGATCATTTCCAATACAATTTTCACCACTATTATCACGTAATATCGAAGATTATATTGGCATATGATTACAATATAAAATCTGTTAAAATCAATGTCTTGGTGTAATTTTACTACTGCAAAACAAAAAAAACGTTTTACCGATCTACTGAATTATTGATAAGTATTATTGTACTCTGAATGAACTAATAATCACATTATTATGCTGAAATAAAGATTGGATGGCATGATACTGGGAAATAAGTACTTACACAAAGAAATAGTCACTTTTCTTATCATCAGTCGTGTAGACACTGGACTAGGATTTTTCAGTTGTGTTTAGTCATTTTTAATCTATCCCGTCAAGAATACAGTTAACTATGACTGAAATGTCAAATGAGTGACTAGACATATAAATGAGATGAAAATAGTAGACATTTAACACAGCTTATTTCCTGACTGTGTCACAGAGAAATGTATAATCCCAAAATGGTATAGTATAGAATCGCCATGGTGAATACACTGTACATGTAAATAAATCAGACGAAAATTGACATGTTCATTCTAAATGAACTTAAGTTTATGCTTATCGTAATTATTTGTTTGTCTAGAAACGAACAAATCTAATAAACAACATATCAGAATTATTTTTTTAAAGGGTTATAAGTGTCATGTCCTTTTGTCTACAGCTAAACAATAAAAATAATGTCAGTGTTTCAGTGAAGAAAATGTTATTTTCGATAATGTCGTTTTCTTAAGCTGTACAATCGTATTCACAAGTAATCTTACCATTTTTTAGTCTATAAGGAACTATAGGGGTGTTGGGTCATCAGACAAATGTATTATGGATTATCGGATACTTTTAAAATCCAGGCGGCTTTTCTAGTTTATTTTCGAAATTTAAGTGATCACGGTTTTCCTACTAAACGCGTGATGATTAAAAGTACGTGAATAACAACAATAATTTATATTTATTGACAAAAAATCATTATACATATATTTATTCTTTACTTCTTAAAAACTTCATTCAGGTTCAAGAAAAGTGTAAAACAATTAAATCATTTCGTAAGGTGGCTCTAAAGAGGGCCGTTTCACGTCCTCTTCTTACAGTCAATCACATTCGTAGAAACCTTCCTCACCAATTCATAGTATCTTGTATGCAACCAGCATCCAAATCGTGGGAATAGATTAAATAATATTTCCCTTATTCGACGCATAACTTTCCGTATAAAGCAAACTTTTAATGAAATATGGTTGGCACCAGGGAATTTTGCTTTCAGAACATTGCTAATTGCAGGGCTTTTGTTACTAATAACGCTTCCGACTGGTATACCAGACAAAACACTATCACGGAAAAAGTATAAAAACATTCCAACATGGTCAGATATCTCTCGAGCTACAAATCCACAGGCTACTGGAATTGCCTTCATGGACGCATATAATACCACTATCTGGTAGAGTGGCACTTCTCCCTTATTATATTTAAGGGTGACGTCAATCCTTATCATACCTATAAACCGGCAAGCTGTGTCCTTCTAATGCCGTTTACAGAAGGAAAAGCACTTCGACTGACCGTTTATGTCATGTTTCACTTCCTAGATGGACGATGTGCTCCGCGAAGGTTGCAAAGCTACCTATTAAGTCAACATCATGAAAGTTATCAGACTAACCTGGAAGTTTTGACCGCTTAAACATATGGTGACGCATAATGAAGACATCTTGTGCAATGATTCGCTTTCTATATGTTTCTCAAATGAAACAGATTACTACAATGGCTGCCGATCTCGACAGCAATAAAAAAAGAATGCCTTTCATGTGATTTGTCAAAAAGACATAACCACGGGCTTCACTCATGAACAACGCGCAGTAAATCATAGTTATGAATCAATGACCATCTGGTTATAGTGACAAATCCATTTGCCATACGAACATGGGCGAACGACTGACATCCACAATCAATAGCTTGCTTAATTTGGTATACACAGGATAGTTGGAGTAACATACACTTATCTTTGTGAAGGTGTCGTCCGCCTCTGATGATGCTCTTTCATTCTGTATACATATTTAATACAAAAACCACTCTCTTTGTGATGGCTACACCATATAATAAAATGACAGAAAGCTTGATCTCTGTAAACTGTTAATTGTCTGGCAGCTCTTCTTCAGTTGGAAATCCAAAGCCAACAAATATCTTTCGAAATATATTCTCCACTTCGCTGTTCTATATAGACATGAAATGACATGATTGCAGTAGTAAAGTTTGTGAAATTCTGCTCCTTTGAAGTTGATAGCTTTCATTCATCTCTAAACTGATCAAGTGCAATCCTAAACAATAATGTGAAGAATAAAACAACCAATAAAAAGTGAGTATTAATGACAGTTTAAGTACTTACAGATTACATATTTAGTAGGATGTAATATTTCTGGGAAAACCTGTGACTCAGTAGAAGAACTAAGACCACTTTTCCAATAAATATTCTGTAAAAAGACACTGAATCTGCAATGCATGTTTTATTAATAAATGAAAAATATTTAGAAACTTATTATCGTGGACGAAATCTTCTGTGTATTGAAATAATGATAAGTTATAACATTGCTTTTAATAATTAGAACTGAATCAAATCCTTTTACTAAATTCTGTCTGATCAAGTTTATATCACGTGGATCTAATAGTTCGATTCTCGTAATCGCGGACATCAGATATTTGTAAAATAAAAGTCAATTTAATTTTGCAACTAAACACGAAAAATTACTTTTTGAGAAGATCTATATGTAGGACTGAGTTAGCTACCGATCAGAGCTGTTTACGATAAATCACTTTATAGTGACTCACGTGCAATCGAGTTTAGTTCAGTCAATGTCTTTTGTTGACCTACTTAATGGACAAAGTCATCCATGATATAACAACTTGTTGTACTATCTTTATTATTATGCTTGTATGAAATACATATGCTTGAACATTGTTTAGCGCCTACGCGTGTATTCATTCTGCTAGCTTCATTATTAACTGCTTAATCTATTCGCTGACTCATCCATTTTCCTATACATATATATATATATATGTGTACATTTGCACCCATTCACTACTACTACAACAACAACTACTACTACTACTACAACTACTTGCTACTGCTACAATCGTAGTTCGCTTGCTCATTCATTTTGCCTCTCTGCTGTCTGGTCCGAATTATCTACTAAATAAACTGTAGTAGCTGCTTCTTTTTGCCTTCTGATCTCAAACACCGTTGAAGATAATACGATAACGGTTCGGGGGTGATTAGTTAACGAAGCACAGCCACTACAACTTGACTACTAAAAATCCCTCTGAAATCCATTTATGTTGGCTGAAATTTTGGAACGTAGTACTTGACATTCTAAAGAAATATTGCTAACGAAATGTTGTTTTCTTATTCGCCACAAGACATGGAGTATGATGTGATTTCTACAGAGAATATGGTGTACATCCGGAAGATTGGTAGACAGAGCATTGCTCATGGCAGGACTGTCATCAAATATAAAACACTCAACAGATGTACGGTATAAAACACTAGAAACCTTATTAGGTTTAATGTCTCTTTGGCAATAAATCCAAAGGTTACTGATATACTCTTCACAGACGCATTCAGTGCTAATAACTGATAGAGTGGGATTCCCTCGTTATTACATTCATAGATACCATCAATTCCTACGATATCAATAAGGCAAAAAGCTACATTATTCTTATCTCGTGTACAGAAGAAACAGCATTGAAAATGACCGTCTACTTCACGCTGCGATTAAGCTCTGCATCTGAGCTGATCGATATTGACT